CACCATGTTAACCATGATGGTCTCCATCTCCTGACCTCGTGATCCACCCGCCTTGGCCTCCCAAAGTGCTGGGATTACAGGCGTGAGCCACCGTGCCCGGCCTACTCATATTCTAATCAGATTTTTTGTTGATGTTGAGGTATAGGAGTTCTTCATATGTTCTGGATATTAAATCCTTATTAGATACATGATTTGCATGTATTTTCTTTTTTCTTTCTTTCTTTCTTTCTTTTCTTTTTTTTTTTTTTAAGACAGAATCTCGCTCTGTCACCCAGGCTGGAGTGCAGTGGTACAGTCATGGCTCACTGCAGCCTTGAGCTTCTGGGCTCAAGTAATCCTCCCACCTCAGCCTCCCAAGTAGCTGGGACCACAGATGTGCGCCATCAAACCTGGCTGATTAAAAAAATACATATACTTTTTGTAAAGACGAGATCTCCCTCTGTTGCCTGGCTGGTCTTGAACTTTTGAGCTGAAGCAATCCTCCTGCCTGGGCCCCTGAAAGTATTGGGATTACATGCGTGAGCCACCGTACCCAGCATGCATGTATATTCTCCTGTCATGTGGGTTGCCTTTTCACTCTGTTCGTAGTGTCATTTGATACATAGAAGTTTTAGATTTCAATGGCATCTTGTTTTGATTATTTTTTTTTTTTTGAGACAGGGTCTCACTACGTCGCCCAGGCTGGAGTGCAGTGGTGCAGTCACAGCTCACTGCAGCCTCGACCTCCCAGACTTGAGCAATCCTCCTGCCTCAGCCCCCCAAGTAACTGGGACTATAGGTGCACATCACCATGCTTCGCTAATCTTTATACTTTTTGTAGAGTCAGGGTTTCACCATGCCCAGCCTGGTCTTCAACTCCTAGGCACAAGTGATGTTCCTGCCTCCCAAAGTGCTAGGATTACTGGCATGAGCCACCATGCCTGGATATCGTATTTTAATTTGTAATTTTCTTTGGTATGTACTCCCCCCACTTTAATTTTAATTTTTTTAATTAAAGTACTATATACAGGCTGGGTGCGGTGGCTCATGCCTGTAATCCCAGCACTTTGGGAGGCTGAGGTGGGTGGATCACCTGAGATCAGGAGTTGAAGACCAGCCTGGACAACATGGTGAAACCCCATCTCTACTAAAAATACAAAAATTATCCGGGTGTGGTGGCGTGTGCCTGTAATCCCAGTTACTCAGGAGGCTGAGGCAGGAGAATCGCTTGAACCCGGGAGGCAGAGGTTGCAGTGAGCCAAGATTGTGCCACTGCACTCCAGCCTACGCGACAGAGAACCCATCTCAAAAAACAAACAAACAAAAAAAAAACATGCTAGGTATGGTGGCACACGCCCAAAATCCCAGCACTTTGGGATGCTGAGGTGGGCAGATCACTTGAGCCCTGGAGTTTGAGACCAGGCTGGCCAATATGGCAAAACCCCGTCTCTACTAAATATACATAAAAAATTAGCTGAGCATGATGCTGCATGCCTGTAGTCCCAGCTACTCAGGAGGCTGAGGCATGAGAATCGCTTGAACCTGGGAGGCTGAGGTTGTGGTGAGCTGAGATTGCACCACTACTCTCCAGCCTGAGCAACAGAGCAAGACTCTATCTCAGAAAAATAAAGCAATACATACTCATGGTTAAAAAATTAATGATATGGAAATATATAAAAGTAAACATCTTCCTCTTATTCCAAAGGACTAATCCTCTCTGGATGTAACCACTCTTAACAAGTTTTTCCATGTTCTTCCAGAAAACTTCGCATGCTAGAGCAACACAAGTGTCCTTTTAGAAAATATTATCGGCCGGGCGTGGTGGCTCACGCCTGTAATCCCAGCACTTTGGGAGGCCGAGGCGGGCGGATGACCTGAGATCAGGAGTTCTGAGACCATCCTGGCCAAACATAGTGAAACCCCGTCTCTACTAAAAATATAAAAATTAGCCAGGTGTGGTGGCAGGCGCCTGTAGTCCCAGCTACTTGGGAGGCTGAGGCACGAGAATTGCTAGAACCTGGGAAGCAGAGGTTGCAGTGAGCCAAGATTGCACCACTGCACTCCAGCCTGGGTGATAGAGTGAGACTCTGTCTCAAAAAAAAAAGAAAGAAAGAAAATAAAATGCTATCAAATAGGTTCATACTTTGGTGGGGTTTTTGTTTTGTTTTGACTAAAACTCTTCATTCTCTGTACTGTATTTGAACAATACCTATTGATGGACATTTCTGATGTTCTCAGTTTTTGGATTTCTACATAGCCCTGGAATGAACACTTCATTTGCATGTCATCTTGTAATTGTGTACTATGTACCTTGGACATACCTTTTAAAAATTGTTGGTGGGGGGGACACATATTTTTTGAAGAAGATGGTACTAAGGTCAGCACCCTGGCTGCCCTGAGAGCGCAGTGCCATGTTCCCCACCTTCTCGCCAACCACAGGATTATGCTGAAAATGAAAATCTTTACCAATTTGATAGGCAAAAAATGGGATCTCAGCATTTTAGCCTGTAACTCTGAGTACTAACAAGGCTGAACACAAAACGAGCTTATTTTCTTTTCAGAAGCCCCTGAATGTGACGGTGATCCGCAGCGGGGAGAAACACCAGCTTAGACTTGTTCCAACACGCTGGGCAGGAAAAGGACTGCTGGGGTAAAGTGTCTGTTTCTGTTCATTCTCACTGGGGCATCATTTGAGTGTTTGTTAAACATGAAGCTGGAGGGGAAGGCTGGGGAGACATTGGGGAATAATGGGAATCCCCAGTTCGTTTGGAAACTGCAGATAAATCCTCGTGGTAGGAACAAGACTACAGCTGTAGAAGCAGAGGGAGCCCCAGTGTCTCTCCTGGGAGCCTCTCCGGTTCATTCATGCACTGGGCAGTTGATTTAAAAGAATGAAAGAACATTGGTGAAAAGGTCAGAAGGGCTCGGCCTCTGACCTTCCTATAGGGAGCCTCCAAACTTACGCCATTCCTTTTCTTCTTTCTTCCAGGTGCAACATTATTCCTCTGCAAAGATGATTGTCCCTGAGGAACAGTAACAGGAAAGCATCTTCCCTTGCCCTGGACTTGGGTCTAGGGATTTCCTCCTTGTCTTCTCTCCCTGAGGCATAAGGATCTGGAAGAGGCTTGTAGCCTGAACTTCTGGGTGATGGCAGTGCTGTGGCCCACTAGTGTAATCTCCCTGGATTAAGACATTCTTAAAAACTTATGCTTGGCCTCTTTCGCAAATTAGGCCATGGCCCTGAATAGGAATTCCCTAAATAGGAACTGCGGGCAAGTGGGCGGAAGTTATTCTGGCAGGTACTGGTGTGATGATGATTATTATTTTTAATAAAGAGTTTTACAGTGCTGATATGACCCTGTTGTCACCCCAACTGAATTTCTTATGACCCTCTCAAACCAAAGCTCAGAAGGGGTCAGAAGAGCTTCATAGAAAGTTGGGCAAAACAAGCTAGCAATTGTGAAGTCCGGCTTTGACCAACATATTTCTTTGCACTGAGGCCTTGCTGCTGTGGATACGGAAATTGCTAAGTAGTTCCATGCTTCCTCAGCAGCTGGGCCGCTAGGGCCATAGTAGCTCCCTTTGGAGAACAGGGAAAGCCTGGAGGTTCCCCAGGTGGCCCAGTGTGGTGTCGTGTCAGCTTCCTCTTTAGGAGGAAGCAAGCTCTCCAGAGGGCAGCAAGCTCCTTTCAATTCAGTAATAAGAACCCCTCCATTTTGTTTTTTGGAGAAAAGGTCCTGCTTTGTCACCCAGACTGGAGTGCAGTGTTGTGATAAAGGTTCACTGAAGCCTTGACCCTCTGGGCACTACCTCGGCCACCCAAGTATCTGGGACCACAGGCGTGCACCACCATGCATAGCTAATTTATTTTTTGTAGAGAGAGGGTCTCCCTGTGTTGACTAGGTTGGTCTCGAATTCCTGGGCTCAAGCAGTCCTCCTGCCTTGGCCTCCTAAAGTGCTGGGATCACAGGCATGAGCCACTGTGCCCAGCCCACTGCTAGTTCGACTTTTTATAATTGAGCCTCCTGGCTATGCCTTGAGATCAGCGCTATTTTGTAAACTGCTGAGGTGTGGATAGGAATGAGTAGATCAGACCTCTTGAAAATGCTTATTCTTCCTCCCTTTTATTTTTTGTCTCTTTTAAGATGGTAAAATGGGTCTCAGCGATTCCTGCCGATGCTTTGAATTATTTTCTCCTCTCCATGGTGTCAGTGTTCATTTCCCCAGTTCTTGCACACCACTTTCTGTTTTGGCAGTTCTGCCAAGCAAGCCCTGTATTCCTTGGGACTGGTTTTGCTGTGGTTGGATACAGATACCAGCTCGCCTTGATGGGATCAGTATTGCTGTGTGCTTCCAGCCACAGATTCTCACACTCAATTCCAAAGCCCTCCTATTGGGCGAATTCCCTCAAACTATTTGACCCAACAGCCACGCGTATTCCCCTCTGGTAGCCACAGACATGCTGTGTTTACCAGTGTTTGCTGTTTAAATTGCATGTTCTAATTCCAAGTATTTTCCAGTCTCTATTTTATAAAGTTTCTGACTATAATAAAAACAGCTTGCCTCAGTTTATCCTTTTTTATTTTGAGATGTATGCCTATTAATCAAATTACCATCACTGGGGCGTGGCATTGTGGGCGGGGAGAATTATTCACGTTCTCCTAAAATGACAGCAGCAGACAGCCTTCTGCCTCAGTGGCTCTGGCTGGTTTCCCGCAGGGCTCCCAGTGGAAACCCATGTGGCCACCTGTTGCCGTCTTCCATGAGATGTTAGTGGAGAGCCACTTTGACGTGGAATGATCCTAATAGGTTTAGCCAGACTGGTTTTGCAGAAACGCCTTGTGGTGAGAACTGCAAGCTGGTGCACCCTGTGTCATATCTGCCCTCAGCCAGCTGGAATTGTCTGCTATACGCGGTGCCCGGTGAGGAGGCGGGCAGGACAGTTGCGTGCAGCATCTATGAGACCTGGAAATTCAGTTTGCTTTTGGAAAAGAGAATTGTATCCGAGTTCATACTTCTCCACCCCATCTTGCCAAGGTTGTGGAAAGTAAAAATTGGCAGTATTGGCTGCTGCAGCTTCTCAGGGGACGGGACCATGTGAAAAGGTGGGGATCGCGCGAGCGCAGGAATGAGGGAAAAGCGAAGAAAGCCTATGCCGTCAGCGACCGGCAGGGGGTGCGTCGGCCACGCTCGTCACCGCTTCCTGGGCACGTGACCACCGCCCCGCCTGTCCTTTAGGGCCTGTCGCTTCCGGCGGCGGCGGTTGCCATGGGGACGGAGCTTGGGTGGTAACCAGAACTAGGGAGCTGGTGGAGAAGGTGGCTGCCGCTGGAAAGACGCCTGGGAGGTGGCTGAGGGGTCCAGGCGGTGGGACGACTCCGGCCTTTTGAAGACCGGGGTGGGTGCTCTCTGTAAGTCCGGGACGGAGGCCACGCGGCCCTGGCGAGGGGGCCCCGGCCTGGCGGAGTCTGGCGCCCCTTGTGGGGCGCTCACCCGACCTGCCCTTGTGGGGCCTGGGGCGGCTCCAGGGAGACCTGAGTTGGGGGCAGAGGCCGCACCTGGGCTTTAATTCCCCTGCAGAGCCACGCACCTGGCACCTCTGCCCCAAACCCCTGCGGCTCCAACCCGGCCGTCCAGATGCTCCGGCGAAGTTGGGCTCAGTCAGAAGAGGCTCGGTGGTCAGAGCCCTAGACAGGAATCAGAGCAGTAATTTTTCAGCTGGAGAAACTAAGTGCCACAGAGATCTCTTTCTTACTAGCGGTGTCATCTTGAATAAGGCACTTCACCTCTCAGAGCCTCAAACTCATTTATTCGTTCATTATTTATTTTATTTTATTTTATTTACCAGAGATGAATTTGAGGCTGATACATTTAGTGCCGAGAAAGAAATTAAGAAATAGAAATACCTTTACTACCCTGTACTCTTTGGGACTTTAGTTTCAAAGAGTTGAGTTCTCTTATTCTAATGTCGCCGAAAATGTGGGGATTTTTTTTTGTTCTGGGTCCAACTCTTTAGGGATAAAGTATCCATCCTTATTGTTTTCCTAGTTCAAACTCTTGTTTGTTGTAAGGAATAAATGAGAGAATATGTCAGAAGGCTTTCAAACTGTTCATTTCTTTGCATGTTAGGGTCGTTAGGGTTGCTTTTCTCTCGAATAATAACAATTGCTACCACTTTTTCAAGCTGTATGTGCCAGAATTGTGTTGAGCATTTTATATGTTATCTGTTCTCTACAACAACCCTAGAATTTAGGATTATTCTTTTTATTTTGCCCATGAGAAAATATAGACTCTGAGGGATAAAGTGACTTGCCCAAGGTCACAGAACAAGTACATGGGGGAAATGGGATTCAATGCTAGGACAAGCTGACAGCAAGGCCCTTGCTTTTAACCACTAGGCTACCCTGCTTCTTCTCATATTCCTGTTTCTAGAATTGTTGCTAATATGTGGGTTATGCATTTCGTTGCCTGTGGGAATATGAATATATTTTAAATGGGTAAAAAGACTACAAGGTGTTTATTCCTAGAAAGTTGACAGGCCCTTTATCAGTATTTTTTTTTTTGAGACGGAGTTTGGCTCTGTTGCCCAGGCTGGAGTGCAGTGGCACCATCTCCACTCACTGCAAGCTCCGCCTCCCAGGTTCAAGCCATTCTCCTGCCTCAGCCTCCCGTATAGCTGGGACTACAGGTGCCCGCCACCGCGCCCGGCTAATTTTTGTATTTTTTTAGTAGAGACGGGGTTTCACCGCGTTAGCCAAGATGGTCTCTATCTCCTGACCTCGTGATCCGCCTGTCTCGGCCTCCCAAAGTGCTGGGATTACAGGCATGAGCCACCGTGCCCAGCCCTGGATCAATATTTTTAAGATCTGGGCTACAAATACATATACTTTAAGATTTCCCAGCCATGCGTGGTGGCTCACACCTGTAATCCCAGCACTTTGGGAAGCCGAGGCGGGTGGATCACTTGAGGTTAGGAGTTTAAGACCAGCCTGGCCAACATGGTGAAATCCTGTCTCTACTGAAAAAATACAAAAATTAGCTGGGTGTGGTAGCAGATGCCTGTAATCCCAGCTACTCAGGAGGCTGAGGCAGGAGAATCGCTTGAACCCTGGAGGCGGAAGTTGCAGTGAGCCAAAATCATGCCACTGCAACCTCCGCCTCCCGGATTAAAGCAATTCTCCTGCCCCAGCCTTCTGAGCAGCTCAGATTACAGGCACCACCACCACACCTGGCTAATTTTTTGCATTTTTTAGTAGAGATGGGGTTTCACTATGTGGGCCAGGCTGGTCTCAATCTCTTGACCTCAAGTGATCCTCCTGCCTCAGCCTCCCAAAATGTTGGGATTACAGGTGTAAGCCATTGCGCCTGGCCAGAAATATGACATTCTTTTTTTATTTTTATTTTTGAGATAGAAGTTTGCTCTTGTCACCCAGGCTGGAGTGCAGTGGCAGATCTTGGCTCACTGCAACCTCCACCTCCTAGGTTCAAGCAATTCTCCTGTCTCAGCCTCCTGAGTAGCTGGGATTACAGACACTCACCACCACACCCAGCTAATTTTTGTGTTTTTAGTAGAAACAGCATTTCATCATATTGGCCAGGCTGGTCTCAAACTCATGACCTCAGGTGATCCATCTGCCTTGGCCTCCCAAAGTGCTGGGATTACAGTCGTGAGCTACCGTGCCTGGTCAGAAACATGACATTCTTTTTATCCTGTGGAAAGGGGCCAGAGCCATTTGTTCACAGTTCATCAATAGGCTAGTGCACTAGGAGATGGAAATGGGAAGCCGAGGGCTGACTGGGTATTATGGTCAAAATCTCTCTAGAGGAAACTCTACAGAGAAGAATGTCAGACGCAGAAGAAGCTCCCGGAGAAGCAACAGGAGAAAATGGAGAAACAGAAATGAAAGAAGAGGAGGAACCTAATCCAAATTATAAAGAAGTAGAAAATCTACAACAGGAATCAAAAGATGACACATTAGCATGGAGAGAGTCTCAGGAGGAGGAGAGGAAAATGGGTGAGGAGGAAGGGGAGGAGGAGAAGGAGGAGCAGGAGGAGAAGGAGGAGGAGAAGGAGGAGGAGGGGAAGGAGGACAAAAAGATTGTCATGGAAGAAACTGAGGAAGTGGCTGGAGAAGCCCAGGAGAAGGAGGCTTCAGGAATACAGGAAGAAACCACAGTGGAGCCCCAAGAAGTCACAGAGTCCGTGATCCGTTTGGAGACACAGATTACCGATTCCCAGTCAATCACATCAGGAATTTTCCCAGTAAGTAGTCATCTTCATTCAATCGTCAATTCATTCAGAATCATTAATTGAATGCTTAGTATAGGCCAGACTATGGGAACACAAAACCAAGTAAGATACAATCCATTCCTTTTTTTTTTTTGAGACAGAGCCTCACTCTGTCGCCCAGGCTGGAGTACAGTGGCACAATTGCAGCTCACTGCAACCTCTGCCTCCTGGGTTGAAGCTATTCTCCTGCCTCAGTCTCCTGAGTAGCTAAGATTACAGGCATCCGCCACCACGCCCAGCTAATTTTTTGTATTTTTAGTAGAGATGGGATTTCGGTCTTACCATGTTGGCCAGACTGGTCTCAAATATGTGACCTCAAATGATCTGCCCACCTTGGCCTCCCAAAGTGCTAGGATTACAGGCACACGCCACCACGCCCGGCCATAATCCATTCCTTTTTTTTTTTGAGACAGAGTTTCACGCTTGTTGCCCAGGCTGGAGTGCAATGGTGCGATCTCGGCTCACTGCAACCTCTGCCTCCTGGGTTCAAGTGATTCTCCTGCCTTAGCCTCCTGCGTAGCTGAGATTACAGGCGTCCGCCACCATGCCTGGCAGATTTTTTGTATTTTTAGTAGAGACAGAGTTTCACTCATGTCGACTAGGCTGGTCTCAAACTCCTGACCTCAGGTGATCCACCAGCTTCGGCCTTCCAAAGTGCTAGGAGCCCCCGTGCCCGGCCACAATCCATTCTTTTAAGGAGCTCTAAGGTGTGTAGGGAGGCAGACCCATGAGTACAGTGACTGAAAGATGCACAGGAGATGAGACAGGGCCTCTTAACCCAGTTTGGAGGATGGCCAGGGAAAGTTTCCTGGGGAAGGTGGGTGCCACAGCTGAGGTGCTCGCCTTAGAATGGAGTCGGTATGATAATAGGAGTGTAGGCTTCCCACAGACTGCTCCCAGTAGGAGAACTTAGCTGTGGCCTAAGAATAGGTTACTCTCTGTAACTAGTCAGCCTTTTGGAGACCACTAGTGCCACTTAGAAGAATGATTTTGCCATTGTGGGTCTGCTGGTAGGCCAAGAATAAACTGGAACACACCGTGTTTGTCCTGTTCTGTTTTCTTTTTTCTTTTTATTTTTTCTCTTTTCTTTTTCTTTTCTCCTTCCCCTCCCCTCCCCTTCCTCTCCCTTCTCTCCTCTTGTCCCTCCTTTCTTCCTGGGGTCTCACTTTGTCACCTAGGCTGGAGTACAGTGGCATGATCGTTCACAAGCAGCCTCGACCTCCCAGGCTCAAGTGATCCTCCTACCTCAGCCTCCCGGGTAGCTGGGACTACAGGCATGCACCACCACATCCAGCTAATTTTGTTCATTTTGGGTAGAGATAAGGTGTCACTCACTATGTTGCCCAGGCTGGTCTTGAACTCCTGGGCTCAAGTGATCCTCCTCTCTTGGCCTCCCAAAGTGTTGGGATTACAGGCATGAGCCATTGCACCCCATCTTGTTTTGTTTTTTAAGTACAAAATGTTCCAGCCTCTTTTAAAAAACATTTCATAATTCCTAGCTGAGGCTAACACTGAGACTGGCTGACTGGGAATAGAAAAGGAGAATAAATGGTGAGTGTAGTAGCACGTACTGCATGTGGAATCATGATCTTGTATTTCTTTTTAAAGAAAACCCAAAGAGGTAGCAAGTCAAAGCCTTCCTTACAATTGGAGGATGCAGAAACAGATGAGCTTTTAAGAGGCCTAAGCACACAACTTGAATTTCTTGATTTGGGTCAAATCAGTCCTGAGGAACAACAGATGAGTTCCCCTGAAAGGCAGCCCTCAGGAGAGCTTGAGGAGAAAACCGACTGGACGCTCCAAGATGAACTGGGACGAGAAAGAAGGGATTTGGAGCCAGAAAACAGAGAGGAGGGACAAGAAAGTAGAGTATCCGACATCCAGTCTGAAGTAGGGATCTCCAGGGAGTCACTGGTGTCCAGCACCACAGAGGACATTCTGTTCGAAAGGGATGAAAGTGCCCCGGTGTATCCCTTGGTAAGTGTAATGCTTTTGAATCTCCCCAAGCACTTTGAGAGTGTTGTGCAATAGGGGAATTTTATGCATGTGGGGGAAGAAGAATACCACCAGAAGGATACTTTTTAAACTAATAACAGACTTGTGTCTCTTGTTTTTTTTTTTTTTTTTTTTTTTGAGGCGGAGTGTAGCTCTGTCGCCCAGGCTGGAGTGCAGTGGCCGGATCTCAGCTCACTGCAAGCTCCGCCTCCCGGGTTCACGCCATTCTCCGGCCTCAGCCTCCCGAGCAGCTGGGACTACAGGCGCCCACCACCACGCCCGGCTAGTTTTTTGTATTTTTTAGTAGAGACGGGGTTTCACCGTGTTAACCAGGATGGTCTCGATCTCTTGACCTCGTGATCCGCCCGTCTCGGCCTCCCAAAGTGCTGGGATTACAGGCTTGAGCCACCGCGCCTGGCCGTGTCTCTTTTTTTTACACAGAGTCTTACTCTGTCGTCCAGGCTGGAATGCAGTGGCGCCATCTTGGCTCACTGCAGCCTCTGCCTCCCAGGTTCAAGTGATTCTTGTACCTCAGCCTCCCAAGTAGCTGGGATTACAGGCATGAGCCACCAAGCCTGGCTAATTTTTGTATTTTTAGTAGAGATGGGGTCTCGTCATGTTGGCCAGACTGGTCTTGAACTCCTAACCTCAGGTGGTCCACCTGCTTCGGCCTCTCAAAGTGCTGGGATTACAGGCATGAGCCACCGCGCCTGGCCTAGACTTGTGTCTTTTAAAGTTCTGTTAAGAGCTCCGACTGGAACATGTGTGACTGAACATGAGCTTGAGAGCTGCATCTGGGTTCAATGGTCTTGCTCAGCAGGCAGGAAATTCCAGACATAGTTTGTCTGTTGCATAGGGTGCTATTTCACGTGGGAGATTCAAACTCCATTCCGGCCCTCTCCCCAGCTTCCTCCTCCCCCTTTCCTTCTTGCTTCCTCTCCCTCTTCTTCCCCTCCCCTTTCCCTTTTCTCTCCTCCCCTCCTGTCTCCTCTCCTTTTTCTCTCTCGCATTGTAAAATTCCTCCTTCATGCCACAACTTCCACCCCTTCCCCTTTCTGCCTCACCTCTTCTGCCTTGATATCTTTCCATGCCCCCCAAACCATCCATTCCGAGAGGGTCCCAGAGGGGAAGGGAATGGAGGAGTGAAAGCTGTGTGAAAAGGCCCAGGCAGTCCAGAGGAATCTGCCTTTGCCACTGCTGAAGATATTCCAGGGAGGCACCATCTGCGAGGAGTAAAAATATTATCATTTACCAAGAGAAGGAAAAGGAGGAGTTTTTTCCTTCTTCCTCCATCTGCTACTTTCTGAAAATTGTTTCCTAGGATTCATCCTTCCTGTAGATTCATGCCTTTGGAAGATGTGGAAGTGATTTAATGGCTATCAAATACTTAATGTAGTTCCTAAGACATAGTGAGTACTCAGTAAGTGTCCGCAACTGGGTGGCAATGACGATGACGGTGGCAAGATGTCTGGAGGGAAATGCAGACAACTGAAAACCTCCTTTCTGCAGATTGGCTTCATTTGAGCCTAGTGTGACAGCCTCTCTCCCATAGCTTGCAACTGTTCGGTCTGAGAGGAAGAATAATTGAGCTTTAGGGCCCACGAAGACTCTTGTTTTGTTTAGCCAGCAAGCATCAACCAGGTAATACTCTAAGGAGAAGGTGTATTCTTCGTGTCAGGGGCCCAGCTATCTGGACCTGGCAAGAGCCACTCCCCAAGTTTTGGGTCTTGCTTAGCCTTGGTCTCACTGCAGAACCAAACTTTTTCTAGATGGTCTCCCTTTGCAAATTACTTTAGCTTTTTATTTATTTATTTATTTTATTTATTTATTTTTTTGAGACGGAATCTCGCTCTGTCACCCAGGCTGGAGTGCAGTGGCATGATCTCGGATCACTGCAACCTCTGCCTCCCGGGTTCAAGTGATTCTCCTGCCTCAACCTCCCGAGTAGCTGGGACTACAAACATGTGCCACCACACACCGCTAATTTTTTTTTTTTCTTTTAGTAGAGACGGGGGTTTCACTGCGTTAGCCAGGATAGTCTCGATCTGACCACGTGATCCGCCCGCCTTGGCCTCCCAAAGTGCTGGGATTACAAACATGAGCCACCACGCCCAGCCTTTTTTAAGAGACAGAGCCCTGCTGTGTTGCCCAGGCTGGACTAGAACTCAATCCTCCCACTTCAGCCTCCTGAAATTTCTTTAGCTTATTGCAAGTATCTTCTTTCTTCTTTCTTTTTCCTTCACTTTCCTTTTCTTTCTCTCTTTCTTCTTTGTTATTTTTGTTTTTCTTTATTTTGAGACAGGCTCTCACTCTGTCACCCAGACTGGAATGCAGTGGTATGATCATGGTTCACTGCAACCTCCACCTCCTGGGTTCAATGGATCTTACTACCTCAGCCTCCCTAGTATCTGGGACTACAGGCGTGTGTTACCACACCCAGCTAATTTTTTCTTTTCTTTTTTTTTTTTTTGAGACAGAGTCTTGCTCTGTCGCCCAGGCTGGAGTGCAGTGGCATGATCTCGGCTCACTGCAAACTCCACCTCCTGAGTTCATGCCATTCTCCTGCCTCAGCCTCCCGAGTAGCTGGGACTACAGGCGCCTGCTACCGCGCCTGGCTAATTTTGTTTTTGTTGTATTTTTAGTAGAGATGGGGTTTTACCGTGTTAGCCAGGATGGTGTCGATCTGACCTCGTGATCCGCCCGCCTCGGCCTCCCAAAGTGCTGGGATTACAGGCATGAGCCACTGCGCCCGGCCCACACCCAGCTAATTTTAGAAATCTTTTTTAGAGATGGAGTCTCACTATGTCTCTCAGGCTGGTCTTGAACTCGTAAGCTCAAGCAATCCTCCCGCCTCGGCCTCCCAAAGTGTTGAGATTATAGGTGTGAGCTACCATACGTGGCCTCTATTTTTTCTTTTTGTTAAAACTGTTCAGTGTTGGCTGGGTGTGGTGGCTCACACGTGTAATCCAGCACTTTGGGAAGCTGAGGTGGGTGGATCACCTGAGGTCAGGAGTTCAAGACCAGCCTGACCAACATGGTGAAACCCCATCTCTACTAAAAATACAAAATTAGCCAGGCGTGGTGGCACATGCCTGTAATCCCAGCTACTCAGGAGGCTGAGCCAGGAGAATCGCTTGAACCTAGGAAGGCAGAAGTTGAAGTGAGCCAAGATTGCTCCATTGCACTCCAACCTGGGTAATAGTGAGACTCTGTCTCAAACAAACAAACAAAAACTATTCATAAAAAATTCAGACAACTTATACATGTTTGAAGGCAAAGATTCTTCTTCCTACACACACCCCTACCCCAATCTCATTTCCTTATGTAACTCCTGCCACAGTTGGCTGTGACTGCTCCTCTCCTGACCTTTTTCTGGGCATGTACAACGTGTTATCTGTGTGCCCATGCCTGTGCGCATGCTCACATGGCTCACATTTAGTTTTTGTGTTTTTTTTTACCAATGAGATAATCCTGCATTTCTACAAAATGTTTTTCCACTTAATATGTCTTGGAAAGTTTCTTGTATCAGTGCATGTATCTCTACTTCCACTTTTTGTTTTTCTTTTTTTGAGATGGAGTCTCACTCTGTCCCCCAGGCTGGAGTGCAGTGGTGCTATCTTGGATCACTGCAACCTCTGCCTCCCTGGGTTCAAGTGATTCTCCTGCCTCAGTCTCTCGTGTAGCTGGGATTACAGGCACACATTACCATGTCCAGCTAACTTTTGTATTTTTGTAGACATGGGGTTTCGCCATGTAGGCCAGGCTGGTCTCGAGCTCCTGACGTCAGGTGATCCACCCACCTCAGCCTCCCAAAGTGTTGGAATTACAGGCATGAGCCACCGTGCCCAGCCCACTTCCTCTTTTTAAATGTAACTGTTCCCCTCTCTGTGGCCACTTAACGTTGCTTCTAATTTCTTGCTGTCACACAAGGTCCTATAGTGAACATGCTCCTCCATCTCTCCTTGTCCGCAGCTTTCTCCTTTTCCTTTGGGGTCCCCTCCTTAGTCCTAAGGCCTGTACTAGCTCCCAGTGTTCATGGTAAATAGACATGACTGTGGATCCCACCTCCAGCCAGGAAACAAGGCAATCATGTTTTTGTGAGCAGGAATCTTATGAATATCAAATACAGTGAAATCTGGTTTTGACAGCAAAGTTTTGTTTTCCAGATTAATATGTTTTAGAAAAAGATTGATGTAAGTGGTGGCTATCTCCATAATCGTCTGTCATGCATGTTAAAACTGCTGCAAAACACGATGATTAATACTATTTGATTTCTGTAATTGTGAATGCTGCTTGAGTGGGGTTGTTCTGTTACCACTAAGTGAAGTCAGCCTCGTGGTGACCCGAGAAGGGCTGTTGTGGCTGAAGACAGGAGTCCTTTTAGGAATGTTTTCTTTTTGTAACTAATTTGTTAAGTGGCAAAATAAATTTCCAGAAAGATGATCCTTTTAGGATTAGCAAGTTTCCAAAAGAACAATTTCATTTGAATAAATCAGCTTTTAAGAAACAGCCAAATATTAAATAATTATGTTCCTAGAAGTTGCAGCTTGAGACAATTATGATTCCATAATTCTACCACTCACACCCACACAATAAGAGATCTAAATATAAATATAAATTATAGGGAATGAGCAGATGGAAACAGAAGGGGATGGGGAATTAAGAATGTAGGAGAGAGAAATTGGTCACATTACCTGCTATGTCTGTCTTGGGGAGAAACAATTTAATTTTATAAGTATTGTTCAAAGATAAGAAAGGAAACTTACCAGATTTTGTTTCTATATTCCAATTTAATTCACTGATTCTTAGCAACGCATCACTTTCAGCACTCCACTGCATTTGATTATTTGGCCCTAGTTAATTTTTTTAAATAGGTTTTTTTTTTTTTTTTTTTTTTTTTGAGACAGAGTCTTGCTCTGTTGCTCAGGCTGGAGCACAGCATTATGATCTCAGCTCACAGCAACCTCCACCTCCTAGGCTCAGTCAGTCCTCCTGCTTCAGCCTCCTGAGTAGATGGGATTAAAGATGCACACCACCATGCCTGGCTAATTTTTGTATTTTTTTTAGAGATGGGGTTTCAGTATGTTGCCCAGGCTGGTCTTGAACTCCTGGGATGAAGCAGTCCACTCACCTCGACCTCCCAAAGTTCTGGGATTACAGACATGAGCCACTGCACCCTGCCTGGATTTTATTTTTAAGCAGTTTTGGGTTTATAGAAAAATTGAAGGCCGGGAGCAGTGGCTCACGCCTGTAATCCCAGCACTTTGGGAGACTAAGGCAGGCGGATCATGAGATCAAGAGATCGAGACCATCCTGGCCAACATGGTGAAACCCTGTCTCCACTAAAAATACAAAATTTAGCTGGACATGGTGGTGCACGCCTGTAGTCCCAGCTACTCAGGAGGCTGAGGCAAGAGAATCGCTTGAACCCGGGAGGTGGAGGTTGCAGTGAACCGAGATCATGCCACTGTATTCCAGCCTGGTGAAAGAGTGAGACTCCATCTCAAAAAAAAAAAAAAAAAGAACAAAGAAAAAAATTGAGCTGAATGTACACAGGGCGCCCACATATTCCTCTTATATCCTTCCTCTCCCAGTTTTCCCTTTTATTCACATCCTGCATGAATGTAGTTCGTCCATTAGCACTGATGAGCCAATACTGCTACCTTATTATTAACCTAAGTCCATAGTGTACATTGGGGGTCACTCTGTGTGTCATGCTTATTATGGGCCTGGACAAATGTATCCTGACATGTACCCACCATTCTAGTATCATACAAATCGATTTATGCCCTGAAACCCCTGTCCTCCACCTATCCATCCTTCCCTTCCTCCCCTGAGCCCTGGCAACCACTGATCTTTTAATTTTTTTTGAGACAGGGTCTTACTGTATTGCCCAGGCTGGAGTGCAGTGGTGTGATCTCAGCTCGCTATAACCTCCGCTTCCTGGGTTCAAGCAATTCTCCTGCCTTAGCCTCTCAAGTAGCTGAGATTACAGGCACGCACCACCATACCTGGCTAATATTTTGTATTTTTAGTAGAGACGGAGTTTCACCATGTTGGCCAGACTGGTCTCCTGACCACAGATGATCCACCCACCTCGGCCCCCCAAAGTGCTGGGGTTACAGACGTGAGCCACTGTGCCAGGCCGCACTGATTTTTTTATTGTCTCCATAGTTTTGCCTTTTCTAGAATGTCATATAGTTGGAATCATGTAATATGTAGCCTTTTCAGATTGGCTTCATTCACTTACCAACATGCTTGTAACTTTCCTCCATACCTCTTTGTGGCTTGTTAGCCTTTTTTTTTTTTTCTTGTTGAATAATATTGCCTTTTATGGATTAGCCTTGGTTGGTTTTTTTTTTTCCCCCCCCCCCCCCCACAAATAGCACTTTTTATTTGACACTAATTGAAGTCTGAACTTTAAACAGATTCTTGGACTGGTGGTTCATATCTATCAACTTGTTCAACTTTAGCACCTGTCTCATCCCCAGTGGCTTTTCCAGAACTACTGCCTTCACCCTGAAGCTCCATGAGCTTTCCCAATTCAAACTTGGGCTTCTTCAGCATTTTTACTTTCCTAACGAAGACATCATGGAGAGGATAAATAGATTGGCAAGGCTTTTCTATGTCTTTTCCAATGCTGTCTGGAATCAATTTATTGACCACTTCTTTCAAGTCATTTGTCTGCACCTCTCGGGTCATGATTTCCATCATCTTCTTCCAGATTTGGCGGACCTGTTGGTGCTGAGCATAAGAGGTCTTATGTATCTGATTGTTGCGTTTTTTAGTAAAACCAACACAAAACAGACGAAGCAAGTAACCATCGGTAGTCTTGACATCAACATGAGCTTCAATCGTTGTCTGCCACTTTTTGACCATGGAACACATTTTGTCACGGGTAAGATCCATGCCATGGAAGTTAGTCAGGCAATTTTTGCCCTGAACATCTTCAGTAATCAGCTTGAATTTTCTAAATGCAGCTTCATCATTCTGCAAATCAGCAAGACTCACTTCAAACACACGACCCTTGAGACCATCAGATGCAATTTTGGTTCCTTGGGTCCTGGTGACGAGCGTCTTTCCAATATTTCTTACATTGAACATAGCAGGTGCTTTCATATCATACCAATCTTTCTTAGAAAATGGATCAACCACTTTCTTCTTGGCTCCCTTTTTGCCGCCTTTCGTAAGGCGCTTGTTCTTGCCAACAGCCATGGTGCTGCTCAGAGAGCTGAAAGGGGTTTATTCTTAATAATTTTTTTTTTTTGAGACGGAGTCTTGCTGTGTCGTCCAGGCTGAAGCGCAGTGGTGCGATCTTGGCTCACTGCAAGCTCCGCCTCCGGGGTTCACGCCATTCTCCTGCCTCAGCCTCCTGAGTAGCTGGGACTACAGGCGCCTGCCAACATGCCCAGCTAATTTTTTGTATTTTTTAGTAGAGGCGGGGTTTCACCGTGTTAGCCAGGATGGTCTCGATTTCCCGACCTTGTGATCCGCCTGCCTCGGCCTCCCAAAGTGCTGGGATTACAGGCATGAGCCACTGCGCCCAGCCTATTCTTAATTTTTAAAAAATACTTTGAGCTGAGCGCCGTTGCCCACACCTGTAATCCCAGCACTTTGGGAGGCTGAGGCAGGTGGATCATGAGGTCAAGAGATCAAGACCATCCTGGCCAACATGGTGAAATCACGTCTCTACTAGATATACAAAAATAGCTGGGTGTGGTGGCACGTGCCTGCTCTCCAAGATACTTAGGAGACTGAGGCAGGAGAGTCACTTGAACCTGGGAGGTGGAGTAACCAGTGAGCTGAGATCGTGCCACTGCACTCCAGCCTGGCAACAGAATGAGACTCTGTCCCATGCCAAAAAAAAAAAAAAAAAAAAAAACAAAAAATTTTGAACACAAAACTAGTACATAAATAAACTAGTATTGAAGTAAAAGCAGTAGTCAGATTTATTGTACTTATAATTTTTCATTTCATAAAATTTTAATTTGGGATTTATTCCAGGCAATACAGAATTTTTAATTTTTCGAAAGAGATTTTGTCTCTTCATCCTTTATCCTTCCGGTAGAAATAGTACATAGGGACCAAATACCCAGGCTGAATAATTAATTGCCTTTCTTTTCTTTGAGATAGAGTATCGCTCTGTTACCCAGGCTGGAGCGCAGTGGTGGGATCTCAGCTCACTGCAACCTCCGCCTCCCAGGTTCAAGTGATTCTCCAGCCTCGGCCTCCTCAGTAGCTGGGAGTAAAGGCGCCTGCCACCACGCGCAGTTAATTTTTGTATTTTTAGTAGAGATGAGGTTTCACCATTTTGACCAGCCTGGTCAAGAACCCTCGACCTCAGGTGATTCACCCACCTCAGCCTCCCAAAGTGCTGGGATTACAGGCATGAGACAGGGCTCCCAGCCTATTTGCCTTTCTTATAAAGTTACATAATGACTTCATTGTAACTTGTCTACCCTACATGCTTTTAGAAAGTAAATGGAATTTCACAACATTAGGTGCTCACTGTGTGTCTGGTACTGAACAAAGTCTTGGTCCTGAGGAGTGGAAGAAAAGAAAGTTATTTCTGTGTATTGTTGAAGACTTTCTTTTCTAATGGAGGTATAATTAACATGCCATAAAATTCACCAAAGTTTTTTTTTAATTGTGGTAAAATACACAGAACATTAAAGTTGCCATCTTAACCTTTTTTTCTCACACTGTTGCCCAGGATGGAGTGTGATGGAACGATCTCAGCTCACTGCAACCTCCCCGCCTCCTGGTTTCAAGCAATTCTCCTGCCTTAGCCTCCAAGTAGCTGGGATTACAGGCACATGCCACCACGCCCGGCTAATTTGTGTATTTCTAGTAGATATAGGGTTTCACCATGTTGGCCAGGCTGGTCTCGAACTCCTGACTTCAGGTGATCCTCCCACCTCAGCCTCCCAAAGTGCTGGGATTACAGGTATGAGCCACCACGCCTGGCTGAGGACTTTCTTAAAGTGGTTCCTCTTTGCTGGACTGTTGATGTGAAATCCTTCCCCTCCAGCGAGTTCCTGGAGTCGTAGCTCTGGGCTGAACATGCTGTAATGTCTTGCTGGTTTTGCCCTTGTCTTCCAGACCATGACCTGGTCGTTTGGATGGAACAGTTCTCTTCCTGTTTACTATATTCGAGAGGAAAAGCAGAGAGTTCTTCTGTATGTTTGCGCTCACACTGCGATCATCTACAACGTGTTGAGGAATAATCAACACCACCTTCAGGTATGCAGGGATTTCCTTCCTATAGGTAGGGGAGTTGTCTTTAACGTGTGTGTGGTATTTTGTTTTATATCTCAAGGACTAACTTCATTCTATCACTGTCATATTTTCCCACTCTCCTTGGAATCCTGTCTTTACAAATACATGGTATTGCTTATTGTCTCTCTGTTTCTAATCAGAATCAACTTACAAAACAGCAGTTGACATTAATTTTATAGTTAGAATTTAAAACATCTGTATTTTTTACACTTCTGCAAAAATGTGGACAGCGTAGATCATGTCTCCACAGATATAACACAAAGGGCAGCTATTCAGCAGGGTGCCGACCTCACGGACACTTACATACCTCTCTAGTTTTCAAAGGGCTTTCATCTTATAACTGTACCGAGAAGTGGGTATTCATACACCCATTTTACAGAAGAAGAAACTGAGGCTCAGAGTGATTTAAGTGACTTGCCCAAGACCGTATTAGTAAATGATGTCTCCTGTCTTGAAAGTGTTAAGTAGGTCAGTTGTCCTTTTATCCCTCCCTCCTTTCAGCAGCTTTGCTCATTTTCACCCCTCTCTGAGCCTCCCCGATTTGTCCTTCGTGCCTCCCCTCCTCACAGCACTCCGCTTCCTTCGTTCCTGATATTTAGGACCCAATTCATTTTCATCATTTACCTTTCCAAGCGTCCTATTCCTTGGTGTCTGACTTTCTGCTTATTGACCTGGTAAACTGTTCCATATCACCCTTTCAGTTGACGTATGTTGTTACAGGAATGTCCTTAGCTGATGCCTAGATCAAAAACACCACAAGGTATTTACCAAGGACCCAGTCAATACTCAGTGTTGTGCCAGGGATTCAAGATGTCTGGGTGCAACTTAAGGAATTCAGTCTCTAGAAGTCCAGAAATACGCAGGCAGAAATCACCAGGCAGCTCCCCTTGGAGCTTCACTGAATGCATGGCAGTGAGCACAGTGGTGATGGCAGAGAGAGAAGGAAGAGATCGCTGTGGGCAGGCTCAGATAGTCAGGGCGAGCAGGATGCACAGATGTGCTGGAGTGGAAGGAGGCAGGAGTCCAGCCTCACTAGGGCCAGAGGGCTGGGAGTGGCCTTGACCGTCCACTTGTTTCACAAATAGTTTATAGCTGCTATGTTTCAGAGTGTAGGTCTGTAGTAATGAACAAAATAGATGTATTCCCTGCTCTCATGGAGCTTACAGTCTAGTACAGAGACAGACGTTAAACAAGTGAACACATAAATGATTACAAATTGTAACCAGTGATTAAAAGGAGATGTGAAAATGCTCTGAGAGAGACAAATTAGGGTAAGAGAAGACTTAACTTTAGATTGAGTGGGCAGGGATTGAAGAGGTGCTGTTTCTGCTAAAACTTGGAGGATGAGAATGAGCCAGTCAAAGACAGTCTGGGAGAGAACATTCTAGATGGAGCAACAAGTGTTCAGGCCTATGTGTGGGGCCCGGAAAGAAGGCTGGCATGGCTGATGCACCGTGAAGGTGAGAGAGAAGGAAGGAGGCAAGAGGGGCCATTTCCCAGCAGGGAGTGCTGCCATTTGTGTTTCCAGAAGATTCCTCTCTTGTGTGCACAAAAGGATTATAAGAAGATAAGAGTGGAAGCAGAGGCCGAGCATGGTGGCTCATGCCTGTAATTTCAGCACGGGCCGTGGCCGAGGAGGCTGAGGTGGGTGGATCACTTGAGCCCAGGAGTTTGAGGCCAGCCTGGGCAACATAGCAAGACCCTTGTCTCTACAAAAAATTTAAAAATTAGTGGGCACGGTGGCATGTGCCTGTAGTCCCAGCTACTTGGGAGGCTGAGGTGGGAGGACTGCTTGAGCCCAGGAGATCAAGGCTGCAGTGAGCCAAGATTGTGTTGATGCACTTTAGTCTGGGTGACAGAGTGAGACCCTGTCTCAAACAAACAAAAAGAGTGGAAGTAGAGAGACCAATGAGGAACTTTTTGCTCCAGAGCTGCTCAGAGCCCTGAAGTGAGCAGTGTTCTAGAGAGAAGAGGCTGGCAGCGTGACTCAGAGTGGCTGGGGGAGGGGAGGGCCCGGATACTTATCCTCCACTTGGGTTGGGAGTTGCCACGTGCCTTGACCTCTAGGAGCCATTGTTCATGTGTGGAGTTATCTTTCAGGTGTTTGGAGGGAGAGAAAGTTTGAAAATCACCCACTAGGAAGTGGATAAACCCCCAGGAAGGCCAGCAGGAACAGAATTTCCAGCCAGATGAGCGTTGAAAGGAGCTCAGATCTCTCTATGGGGCCTGGCCTTTGCTGATGGTGGCCAAGGCTGGGCCACATCTTGGATGTTTCAAAGCATTTTCTCTCCATTTCTATAGGGCCATGCCAATATTATCTCCTGCCTCTGTGTCAGTGAAGACAGGCGGTGGATCGCCACAGCAGACAAAGGGCCGGACTGCCTGGTGATTATATGGGACTCCTTCACAGGGTAGGCTTTGTGTAGCCACTTCTTTTTTCCCCAAATTTGTGTGGAGTATCTGCCACTGTGTGACAGTGACAGAATGAGTAATGCCAATGCCTAGAAATTTGATTTGTTGGCGTTCCACAGCAGACTAGCTTATGCTGACTCACACTAACCTAGCTCACACAAGCTCAAAGCATAACCCAGATGGCAAATCTGTCATTTACAACGAGAAACATTACTTCTACAAGGACAGATTTTCTAGTGGCTGGTCAGGCTGCCTCTTCTGGGCAGTTCTTAATGGTTACTACCAAGTGTTCCTGTCTATCCCTGCTCCCCGTTCCATACATTTCTTATTGGATATGTTCAATTTCGATCTGTTTGCCTGCCATGGTTTTAGGTATAGTAATGATGGGAGACTTTCCAAAGCTGCTGTTTCTCTGCAGTCTCTCTCTAATTCTAACAACCCACCATTGTCTCCTTTCTTTCATAATACAGACAGGGTCTCGCTCCATTGCCCGTGCTGGAGTGCAGTGGTGCAGTCATAGCTCATTGCAGCCATGAACTCCCAGATCAAGTGATTCTCCTGCCTTGGCCTCCTGAGTAGCTGGGACCACAGGCACATGCAACCACACCTGGCTAACTTTTTTTTGTAGAGGTGAGGTCTTGCTATGTTGCCCCGGCTGGTCTTGAACTCCTGGCTTCAAGAGATCCTCCCATCTTGGCCTTTCAAAGCACTGGGATTATAGGTGTGAGCCTCCATGCTTGGCCTCTTCTTAAGTATTTTATTTTATTGTATTATATTTTCATAGAGATGGGGTCTTGCTTTGTTTCCCGTGCTGGTCTTGAACTCCTGGGCTCAAGCCGTCCTCCTGCCTCGGCCTCCCAAAGTGCTGGGATTATAGGCATGAGCCACCACACCTGGCCTCTCTTTCTCTCTTTTTTAAATTAACAGACTTTTATTTTTAGAACAGTTTTAGATTTACAGAAGAATTGGGAAGATAGTACTGAGGATTCCCATATACCCCACACCCAGATTCCCACATTAGTTACATCTTACATTAGTAGGATCAATTTGCTATAATTCATGAACCAATATTGACACATGATTATTAACAAACATCCAGGATCCCACCCAGGAGACCACATTCGATTTAGCTGTGATGGCTCCTTAGGCTCTGCTTGGCTATGGCAATTTCTTAGACTTCCCTTGTTTTTGATGACTGACAGTTTTGAGGAGTACAGGTCAGGGATTTGGTAGGGTCTCCATCTACTGGACTGTTCTGATGGTTTTCTCGTGATAAACCTACCGGCCTTCTGAAACACTCTGGTGTCTAAGAAATGAGTTACAGTGGCCTTCTTAACCTGGGGGTAAAAGGCATGCTCACTTCGATCAAACGTCAGATAAACCAGTCCAGGTGGTGAGGGGAGGTTGACAGCCCACAGACTCTCTATTGGAGCTGGATCTGGAAGGCTGGGGTTCTGTACTCTCCTTGTATCTGCTTCTGTAACTCACTCTCCTCCTTCCCCGGCTGGAGGCAGACTGAATGGAGAGCCTCTCTGGTATCAAGGTTGTCATCCTGTATTGCCTTTCTTCCTAACTCATAAAATTCCACCTTTTCTGGTTCCTTTTCTGATAGTGCATCAGACAAGGAATGGTGGAATTTCCGTGGGCTTGAGCAGTCCTGCTCAAAGTGTGGTCTGCAGGCTGAGCTGATCTGTCAGCCGGTCCTGGGCTATGTTGAACAGAAAGTACAGAAAATGAGAGGGGGCCTTTGGGAACTTTTATAGCAATTTGTTCTTGCTATGGTATTTTTATTTTGTGAAAGTATTTGATCTGGGCTGGGTGCAGTGACTCATGCACTTTGGGAGCCTCCCAGCACTTTGGGAGGCTGAGGCAGGAGGATAACTTGAGGCCAGGAGTCTGAGACCAGCCTGGGCAACATAGTGAGACTGTCTCTACAAAAAATTAAAAGTTAGCCACATGTGGTGGTGCATGCCTGTAGTCCCAGCTACTCGGGAGGCTGAGGCGGGAAGATGGCTTGAGCTTAGGTGTTTGAGGCTGCAGTGATTCATGATCATGCCATTACACTCCTGCCAGGGTGACAGAGTAAAACCCTGTCTCAAGAAAAAAAATATGCATTGGTCTGCAGTGGAATAAAAGTTTTTTTTTTTTTTTTTTTTTTTGAGACGGAGTCTTGCTCTGTCACCCGGGCTGGAGTGCAGTGGCCAGATCTCGGCTCACTGCAAGCTCCGCCTCCCGGGTTCACGCCATTCTCCTGCCTCAGCCTCCCGAGTAGCTGGGACTACAGGCGCCCACCACCTCGCCCGGCTAGTTTTTTGTGTTTTTTTAGTAGAGACGGGGTTTCACCGTGTTAGCCAGGATGGTCTCGATCTCCTGACCTCGTGATCCGCCCGTCTCGGCCTCCCAAAGTGCTGGGATTACAGGCTTGAGCCACCGCGCCCGGCCAAGTTTTTTAAAAATACCTTTCACCACAGATAGTTTGCAAAGTCCTGGACAAGAAGATGTCTAGGCAGTTGGGGGATCCTGTGGGACTGAGCACGCCACCTTGTGTGACAGCTCTCAAGCAGGAGGCCGTCTTGTCTGCCGAGGACATTGGAAATGGGGCTGGTAGTTTGGGCTGTGGGATATGGCATTGTGTAATCGATGAGAATGCAGTAGAGGTCCACCAAATGAAGGGAAGGAGCTGTAGGGTTTCAGGGAGGGCCTGGTTGGGGACAAAAAGCATGAGCCTGCAGTAGATGATGGGTGGGGGAACGTGGTGATGCTTGTCCAGCCGTGCTGGGCAGAGGGGGAATAAGAACAGGGAATGTGACTGGTGGTGGCTTGCCTGGGTAGGAGAACTGGAAGGGAAGAAGGGAAGGGGCCCAGGGGACTTCAGAGGGACATGAAAGAGCAGGTGGCAGGAGGCAGGTGTGAGTGTGGGCTCTGGCATCCACCTGGGCTTCCATACCTGCTCCACCTGGGCTTCCATGCCTGCTCGGCCATGGTCTGCTCTGTGACTTGGAGGCCCAGAGAAGAAAGTAACTTTCCCATTTGTGAAAAAAGAATAATGATGTCTACTGTTTTTTACTTTCCTTGGGCTGCTGTAACAAATTACCTCAAACAATATACTCTCTTGCAGTTCTGGAGGCCAGAAGTCTGAAACCAAGGTGTCGGCAGGGTTGGCTGCTTCTGGGGGCTGTGAGGGAGAATCTGTCCCAGGCCTCTCCCCTTGCTTCTGCTGGCTGTGGGTGACCCTTGGTGTCCTTGGCTTGTGGACGCATCCCTTCGATCTCTGCCTCCATCTTCCCATGGCATTCCCACCATGCATCCATCTGTGTCTTCTTGAGGACCCTGGGCATTGGATTTGGGGCCCACCGTAGTCCAGTACAACCTCATCTTAACTAACTACATCCACAAAGGCCCTGTGTCCAAATAAGGTCATATTCTGAGGTTCTGGGTGGGCCTGAGTTTGGAGGGGCCACTTAGCCCATTAAATCCGGTGCACAGGATGTTGTGAGGATCGCTGGAGCGCAGCACCAGACCATGATAGAGGATCCTAGGTGGGTTTTCTTTCTTAACTCCTGGCCTGAGGCAGAGAGCAGTCAGATTCACTGACAAGATTGTTAGGGCTTAGTTGGGTAGACGGGTGGGAGGGAAGAGTTCAACAAGTGAGTCCAGATGCATGAGGAGATTAGGAAGAAGTTCTGTTTAATGTTCTATAGTGGGGGACACAGGAACTGCTCTCCCGCAGGTGACCAGTGACCTCCAGGGGATCGCATTACCCAACCTTGATCCTCATGTGACTTGACTTCTCTGTGTCATCTAACACTTCATTTCCTGTGGCTTCTCTGATCTCACATCCCTACAACACATGGCCTTCATGTCTGGCTTCTTTCACGTAGCATCATGCTTGAAGGTTCATCTGTGGTGTGGCACGTGTCCTTTCTATGGCGGAATCACATTACATTGTATGGATAGACCAAACAATGTATGCTCTTTCATCTGGTTTTTTGTTTTGTTTTTATGTTTTTGAGACAGGATCTCACTCTATCACCCAGGCTGGAGTGCAGTGGTGTGATCGTGGCTCACTGCAGCCTTGGCCTCCAGGGCTCAAGCAATCCTCCCACTTCAGCCTCCTGAGTAGTTGAGACCACGGGTACATGCCACTGAGCCTGGCTAATTTTTTTGTTTTTCTGGTAGAGACAGGGTCCTCCTGTGTTGCCCAAGGTCTCAAACTCCTAGGTACAAGTGATCCCCTGCCTTGGCCTCCCAACATGCTGGGATTACAACTGTGAGCCACTGTACCCAGCCTCATCTGTTGTTGTTGTTATTATTATTATTATTATTATTATTATTACTGAGACAGGGTCTCACTCTGTTATCCAGGCTGGAGTGCAGTGGCACAATCTCAGCTCACTGCAACTTCTACCTCCTGGGCTTAGATGATCTTCCCATCTCAGCCTCCCAAGTAGCTGGGACCACAGGTGCACACCACCATACCCAGCTAATTTTTTTGTATTTTTTAAATAGAGATGGGGTTTCACCATGTTACTCAGGCTGGTCTAGAATTCCTGGGCTCAAGTGATCTGCCTGACTCAGCCTCCCAAAGTGCTGGGATTACAGGCATGAGCCACCATGCCCGGCTCATCTGCTTAATTTGTTAAAAAATGATTTTAGGACATTTTAATAGAAAACTGTTAAATTTAATGGTGACTCACGCCTGTAATCCCAGCACATTGGGAGGCCGAGGCGGATGGATCACTTGAGGTCAGGCGTTCGAGACCAGCCTGGCCAACATGGGGAAACCCTGTCTCTACAAAAATACAGAATACAAAATACAAAAAAAAATTAGTCGGGCAAAATGGTGCCCGTAATCCCACCTACTCTGGAGGCTGAGACAGAATCGCTTGAACCCAGGAGGCGGAGGTTGCAGTGAGCCAAGATCGTGCCATTGCACTCCAGCCTGGGCGACAGAGCGAGAATTCATCTCAAAAAAAAAAAAAATTAGTGAAAACCGATACATTTTCGTGGAAAGCACTGGCTGCCATCTCCGATCCTAGTCTTCTTTCTAGAGGTAATCAATTTGATGTGTTTCCTTCCAAAACATTTGCTTTTGTTTTAAACACATGTATATGGATATCTTCATATTGTTTTTCTCCACAACATGGTTGGTGTGATCTTTTCCCAAATGTAAATCTGATTGTGTTGCCACCCTGATTAAAACCCTTTAGAAACTGCCCATTGTCAGATCAGCTTATGCTACAGGGAACACGCACCCTGCATTAGGGCCGTGCAGACACTTCCCCCGGAAAGTGAAATGCCTGCTGCCTGCACGCGTAGCCATCTGCAGCTGCTAACATGCTCTCAGCTGCAAGTAATGGCCCATGCAACTTAACCACAAGGAAAAGGTATTATCTCATGCACTAGAAGCCTGAAGTCGGCCAGCAGAAGAGTCGGAGTCCTTCAGGTGTGTCTTGTCTCTGAAGCCTTTGCTGACCGACACCTTCACCACACAGAGCTGCTCCGTTATGATGTTGAGCTGCTGTTTTTTCCTTATTTGTGAAACTTTGTCTCTACTAGACACGAAGCCACTTGAGGGCAGTGATTTTTTAAAAAAATTACACAGTAAAGCATATCTGTGGTTAATAATGCAAATGCTATGTTAATATGAATTTTATGATATCCCAAGTGATTACTTTGGGACCCAGAAAAGATTATTCAGAGGCTGTTTTGGTTTTAGGATTAGTATTCATTTTATTAGTGATAAATTAAAAACTGTAGTTCTTCCTCCAGTTTTTCGCTCAACTTAAAAATCTTACTCTGTTTATAAATCTAGCATATTTTTGCAATCACCTTTGAGGAGGCTTTGATTAATGTTTGGCCCCACTTACACATTTGGTTATTAACTCCTTTTAAACATTTAAAACTGCATTTCGATATTTAAGATACTCAGTTTCATTAAGTTTTTTAGTAGTCTGATTAACAAACAAATCCTTCATAGTACTTAATTACTGCAAATCTAGTAAATTAGACATAAATATGGTAAATCTTAAGTTTCCTTAAGTGTTCTAATATTGCCTATAAACCTATTACGATTTTAATTTAAAATCACAAATCTAAATCAACTACATATTTTAAATTAGCATCACAAATCTAATCTGTTAGCAACTCTGAGGTATGTCAAATTCACTTAAACATTACAAATTCCTAAAAAATGAACAAATTCTCTTATCACAACTGTGTTAATAATGCAGGTCTGACTGACTTCATCTTCTCTATATTCAATTCCAAGTATCTCCAAGGATAAGATACATTTTCTCACTAAGGACTTCACTGTGTTATTTCCAATCACTTTGGGATTGCCTTCCCAGGTGAATTTTTGGGGCTACTTCTCAGTGGGATGAAGTTTCTCAAGTGACAGAGAACCAGAGAGGTCCTCAGCTGGGACACAGACTTGATGCCAGCCAGTTGGGACCCTGGTGTGACATACAGACGTACTGAGGCCTGTTTATCTTCACTGTATCTAGGACTCCATAATCAAAAAAAAAAGAACCATGCGGCCTGCATTCCTGGTTTAAGTCTCGCTACCACCCTCTCTTCATTCCAGTGGGAATCAGTGGACCTCCCCCAACCCAAACATTACAACTTCCATCTTCGCTTCCACTGCTTCTGTGCTTTGGTTGTCTTAGATACTTACATGTCATCTAATTCTGGGTATTTCAAGGCTGTGTCGGAATCATACAGTTCTAAGGTCTTGTCAGTAACACAGTATGGAAGTATAAGAGCAAAAAATAAAAGTTCCTCCTCACCCAAACCCCATCTCCAGAGGAACCATTGCTTACAGTTTGCAGTCTATTCCTCCGGAGTTTTTTCAATATACACACACACTCACACACACACACATGATTAGGATGATGCAATTGTTTTGCAATTTGCTTTTTTCACAAATTTTGGTCACTTTCCCAATCTACCTCATTCTTTTTGAAGGCAGCAAAGTTTTTATTTTTATTTCTATTTTTAATTTTTATTTTTTTTATTTTTTTATTTTTTTTTGAGACAGAGTTTCGCTTTTGTTGCCCAGGCTGGAGTGCAATGGTGTAATCTCGGCTCACTGCAACCTCCACCTCCCCGGTTCAAGTGATTCTCTTACCTCAGCTTCCTGAGTAGCTGGAATTACAGACTCCTGCCACCACACCGGGCTAATTTTTTGTATTTTTAGTAGAGATGGGGTTTCACTGTGTCGGCCAGCCTAGTCTCAAACTCCTCACCTCAGGTGATGCACCTGCCTTGGCCTCCCAAAGTGCTGGGATTACAGGTGTGAGCCACCATGCTGGCCTTATTATTTAATGTATTTATTTATTTATTTATTTATTTATTTATTTATTTATTTATTTTTGAGGCAAGGTCTTGCTCTGTCACCCAGGCTGGAGTGCAGTGGCATGATCTTGGCTCACTGCAGCCTGCACCTCCTGGACTCAAGTGATCCTCTCACCTCAGCCTCCCATGTAGTTGGGCCCACAGGCGCATGCCAGCACGCCTGGCTAATTTTTCTATTTTTGGTAGAGACAGGGTTGTGCCATGTTGCCCAGGCTGATCTCGAACTCCTTTGCTCAAGCAATCCACCCTCCTCAGCCTCGCAAAGTGCTGGGATTACCAGTGTGCAACACCATGCCCAACCTAGTTTCTTATCATGTGGTTTTACTGTAATATCTTTTCAAACAATTCATGTGTGGTATATTAGGGACATTTGTGTTGTTTGATTTTTGCTATTAGAGTAGTACCACGATGACTATGAATTTTCATTGACCTTTGTTTACTTTTTCCATGGTTTCCCTAGGAAAAAGTCGTAAGAGTGGAGTGACTGGGCGGTAAGGTGTATGCATTGAAGGTTTTGATAGATCCAGCCAAACTGCTTCTAGAAATGTGCTGCTCCTTTGCATTCCCACCTATGCAGGAGAGTGCCTGATTCCCTGCGAGCTGGGATGTTGTCCTAGTCATCTTTTCATACTTACATCCTTCCTGCCAGGCACAACCTGGCACAGAATCAGTGCCTGGTACCTTGTGAATGAGAAACTAGAGCTTGTGAAGAGGGCAAACAGCAGGCCCATAGCCTTGAGTTAGGCTTGACTACTATTGTTGTTGAGGTTAAATTCACATGACATAAAACTGACCATTTTAAAGCTTGCAGTTTGGTGACATTTAATACATTTACACTGTTATGCAACCATTATCTCTATCTAGTTCCAAAACATTTTCACCACCCCAGAAGGACACCCTGCACCCCATTATCTGTCTCCATGGGTTTGCCTATTCTGGCCATTTCATATGAGTGGACTCGTACACTCTGCACCTTTCGAACCTGGCTTCTTTCACTTAGCATCATTTCCGAGGCTCATCCATGTCATATCATAGCATGTGTCAGTGCTTCATTCCCTTCTATGGCTCAAAAATATTCCACTGTATGGATAGATCACATTTTGTTCTGTTTTGGAGAGGTTTGGGCTGAGCTCAGACCTGCCCTGGGCCTCTCTGGGAAGCCAGGGAGACCTCAGCAAGTGTCACCCTCCTTGTCCTGTTTTGCAGTATTCCTGTGCACACAATATTTGACAGCTGCCCCGAAGGGAACGGCATCAGGGCCATGGCCATGACCCATGACGCCAAGTATCTGGCAACCATCTCAGATGCTGAAGTCCAGGTAAAGGCCCTGGCCCTTTGGGTCAGCTTCAGCGAGCTGGCCAACCTGTCCAGCGTGTCCCCGTGGGCAGCTCTGTTCAGGCTGCATGATGTTTGTGATGTTCTCAAAAGACCAGACTCCACAGCACAGAGTCCGGGCCTCTGTCCTTAGTTACTTGAAGTTTTGGGGTCACCACAAGAGGTGTAAGTTACTTTAGCAGACTTCAAAGAACTTCTCATGCCCCTCTCTCTGCTGTCACCTACAGAAGGTGTGCATCTGGAAGTGGACTTTGGCAGTGGAAACACCAGCATGCACTTTCGAACTCCCCAAAGAGTACGGTGTTCAGGTGAGTTCGACTGGAGCCTGTAAACATCAACTAAAGTTATATGGGTGCCAGGCCAGGCTGGGCGTGGTGACTCACACCTGTAATCCCAGAACTTTGGGAGGCTGAGATGGGTTATCACTTGAGGTCAGGAGTTCAAGGCCAGCCTGGCCAACATGGTGAAGCCCGTCTCTACTAAAAATACAAAAATTCCCTGGGCGTGGTGGCACATGCCTATAGTCCCAGCTACTTGGAAGGCTGAGGCATAAGAATTGCTTGAACCTGGGAGGCAGAGGTTGCAGTGAGCCAAGATTATGCCACTGCACTCCAGCCTGGGTGACAAAGTGAGACTCCATCTCAAAAAAACAAAAACAAAGTTCTACTGATGCTGGGCCAAAACCTACTTTTTGTTTCAGGGGAGTTGTGTTATGCTGCATAACAGTGTTTTTTTTTTTTTTTGAGACAGTGTTTCACTCTTGGTGCCCAGGCTGGAGTCTGGAGTGCAGTGGCACGATCTTGGCTCAACACAACCTCTGCCTCCCAGGTTCAAGTGATTCTCCTGCCTCCCGAGTAGCTGGGATTACAGGTGTGCACCACCACGCCTGGCTAATTTTGTAATTTTTAGTAGAGATGGGTTTTCTCCATGTTGGTCAGGCTGGTCTCGAACTCTCAACCTCAGGTGATCCGCCCACTTCGGCCTCCCAAAGTGTTGGGATTACAGGCATGAGCCACCGCGCCCGGCCTCAGTAGAGCTTTAAAAACCCTTTCATTTCCTGATTCATTTTACTTGACTATAATAGCTAATATTTTTCAAGCACTTATGTTCCAGAGTCTGCTAAATTCTTTACTTACATTATCTCACATAATCCATGCAAACATGCTAGCAAAATAGATATTAATATCTGTGGAATACTACCATTAATTATTAAATACTTTGTCTAAAATCACCCACCTGGCAGTCTTTCTTATTCTATAAGCGTGCTTTTAACTGCTTCGAACCTTGTAAAACTAACTCTGAGGAGTATAGGGAAGTTACTATTATTGCTCCCAACTTACATGAGGTGACTTGCCAAGGACACCCAGCAAGTTTCCATCAGGTCTCCTTATTTCCTGGGTCGCTGCTCCCTGCTGTTGTGACTTGTCTCATTCATCCTTGCATGCTTCATTTGTCATACATTTATCGAGTACCTGTTCTGTGCCAGGCACTGTGATAAGTACATGCCTGACTTGCAGGATCTAAATCCCAGAGGGTTTGGGTGACTAGACTCAGCCAGGGAAATACGGTTATGCAGCCATATCCATCTTCTTTCCTTTCCCCGCAACATTCCTCTTGCCCCTAAAAAAATATTTCTTCCTCCTTAAGGTTGTGCTAACACAGTAGCCACCAACCATATGTGGCTATTTAGGATGAGTTTTTCTATTGCTGCAAAAAACGTCATTGGGGTTTTGTTTTGTTTTGTTTCGTTTTTTGAGACGGAGTCTTGCTCTGTCGCCCAGGCTGGAGTGCAGTGGTGGGATCTCAGCTCACTGCAAGCTCCGCCTCCCAGGTTCACGCCATTCTCCTGCCTCAGCCTCCCGAGTAGCTGGGACTACAGGCGCCTGCCACCTCGTCCGGCTAGTTTTTTTGTGTGTGTGTGTTTTTTTTTTTTTTTTTTTTTGTAGAGATGGGGTTTCACCGTGTTAGCCAGTATGGTCTTGATCTCCTGACCTTGTGATCCGCCCGTCTCAACCTCCCAAAGTGCTGGGATTACAGGCTTGAGCCACCGCGCCCAGCCGCCATTGGGGTTTTGATAGCAATTTTGCATTGAATCTGTAGATCACTTTGGGTGGTGTCATCGTTTTCACAGCATTGTCTTCTAATCCATGAGCATGGGACGCCTTGCCATTTATTTATGTCTTCTTTAATTTCTTTCAGGAATGTTTTGTAATTTCCAGAGCTCAAGTCTTCACCTCCTGGTTAAATTTATTCCTAAGGATTTTGTGTTTTTTTGATGCTATTTTAAATGGATTTGTTTTCTTAATTTCCTTTTTAGGTTGTTCATTGCTAGTGTATAAAAAGACAGCTGATTTTTGTGTGTCGATTTTGTACCTTGCAACCTTGCTGAGTACACATGGTGATTTAAATTTAAAATTATTAAAACGTAAAAAATCTTTTTTGAGACAGGGTCTCCCTGTTGTCCAGGCTGGAGTATAGTGGTGTAATCCCAGCTCACTGCAGCCTCTGCCTCCTGAGCTCAAGCAGTCCTCCTACCTCAGCCTTCTGAGTAGCTGGAACTACAGGTGCACACTATCATGCCCAGCTAATTTTTAAATTTTTTACAGAGACAGAGTTTTGCCATGTTGGCCAGTGTGGTCTCCAACTCCTACGCTCAAGCCATCCACCTACCTCAGCCTCCCAAAGTGTTGGGATTACAGGCGTGAGCCACCACACCCTGCCCTCTTCTTGCTATGGTTTCTTCTTAGGTATTGTCATCTATTCCCAAGGCTATTTACTTCCAAGACATACCCTAAAATCTTCCCTCATCTCTCCACCTCTGTTGCCACCGTCCTAGTCCAGGCCACAGTCACCTCTACCTGCACCATCTGGCCCGCTGGTCTTTCTGCTTTCACTCTCTCTTCACTCTCTAACAATCTTCCCACAGCAGTCAGACTGTTTTTTGCTTTGTTTTATTTTCTTTATTTTCTTTTTTTTTTTTTAAGATGGAGTCTCACTCTGTCACCTAGGCTAGAGTGCAGTAGTGCGATCTCGGTTCCTACAACCTCCACCTGCTGGGTTCAAGCGATTCTCCTGCCTCAGCCTCTCGGGTAGCTGGGACTACAGGCACGTGCCACCATGCCTAGCTAATTTTTTGTATTTTTAGTAGAGATAGGGTTTCACCATGTTAGCCATGATGGTCTCGATCTCTTGACCTTGTGATCTGCCTGCCTTGGCCTCCCAAAGTGCTGGGATTACAGGTGTGAGCCACTGTGCCCGGCCAGAGAGTTATTTTTAAATAATTAAAATATTACATCACTCCTGTACTTAAAATCCTTCAGTAACTTCTCATTGTCCTCAGAATAACATTAAAATTCCATGACATGTGGCCTTCAAGGTGTGATCTGATTCCTCCATCCATCTCCTAATGTCTACCATCCTGATTATTGTTCGTCAGTTTGCTTTTCCTAGAATTTCATGTATAATAAATGGACTCCATTTACAGAGAGCTTTGGTTTCTTTCACTCAGTTTTGTTGTTGCACGTATCAGTAGTGTATTCCTTTTTATTGTTGAATAGTAGCGCATTGAATAGGTATGTAACCTTATTAATTCACTGTTCATGGACATTGGGTTGTTTCCTGGTTGTGGCTATTAAAAATAAAGGTGCTGTGAATGTTCATGGACAAGTCTTTATTTTTGAAGGAGATTTTCCTTTGGTATAGAATTCTAGAGTGGTAGTATTTTCTTTTAGCACTTCGTATCTTCAAGGATGTGATTCTGTTGTCTTCTGGTTTCTACTGTTTCTGTTGAAAAGTCAGCTGTCAATCCCTGTTTTGAATGTTGTGTGTCTCTCTCTTTGGCCCCCAGCTGCTTTTACAGATTTTTCCCTTGGTTTTCAGCAGGATTTTTTTTGTTGTTGTTGTTATGTTCTGTTTTTGAGACAGGGTCTCACTCCATCACCTAGGCTGAAGTTCAGTGGCACAGTCACCACTCATTGCAGACTTGACCTCTTAGGCTCAAGTGATTCTCCCACCTCAGCCTCCCAGGTAGCACCACTACACCTGGCTAATTTTTTTTCTTTTTTTGTAGAGATGGGGTCTCGCTGTGTTGCCCAGGCTGGTCCCAAACTCCTGGGCTCAACTGATCTTCCCACCTCAGTCTCCCAAGGTGCGGGGATTATAGGCATGAGCCACTGCTGCACCAACCCCAGCAGCTTTTCAGTGATGTGTCTTTGTGGATGTGGGTATGTTGTTGATTTTTTTTTTTTTTTTTTGAGACGGAATCTCGCTCTGTTGCCCAGGCTGGAGTGCAGTGGCCGGATCTCAGCTCACTGCAAGCTCCGCCTCCCAGGTTTATGCCATTCTCCTGCCTCAGCCTCCCGAGTAGCTGGGACTACAGGTGCCTGCCACCTCGCCCAGCTAGTTTTTTGTATTTTTTAGTAGAGACGGGGTTTCACCGTATTAGCCAGGATGGTCTCGATCTCCTGACCTCGTGATCTGCCCGTCTTGGCCTCCCAAAGTGCTGGGATTACAGGCTTGAGCCACCGCGCCCGGCCTGTTGTTGATTTTTGTAAAGTTTATCCTTTAGAATTTCTTGAACCTGGGATGTTATATCTCTTCTCAGTTTTGGAAAATTCTCAGCCAGTACCTCTTTACACATTTCTTCTGCCACATTCTTTCTTTCTTCTCCTTCTGGGGCTCCAATTACATATATGTTAGACCTTTTCTGGTCTTGTCTCGCTGGTCTTTTATTTTCTTTTCTGTATTTTCTATCCTTTCATCTGTTTCTGCTTCAGTCTGGATGTTTTCTACTATAATTTGTCTTCCTTTCCTGCTGACTCGTTCTTTCTTTGGCTATATCTAAATTTTTGTTAAACTGTCTATTGAGCATTTTAAATAATTTTTTCAGGTCTAGAGTTTCCATTTGATTCCTTTTTTAAGTAGAGCTATCTGCTGAGATTCCCCATCTTGTCCTCTACTTTCCTGCATGTTAATCCAGTGATTGTCACGTCTGTGTCTAACAACTCCAATACTTGGATCTCCTGTGGCTTCTTTCTGCCGATTGCTTTTTCCCCTTGGTTTTCAGTCATTTGGATGGGTCTTTTTTGTTTTCTTTTCTATTCTTTTTTGAGATAGGGTCTTGCTCTGTTGCCCAGGCTGGTCTTGAACTCCTGGCCTCAAGCGATCCTCCTGCCTCAGCCTTGCAAAGTGCTGGGATTCCAGGCATATACCACAGTGCCTGGCCTGGATGTATCTCTTTAATATGCCTTGCTATTTTTTACTGAATGCCTGATGTTGTGTTTTTTAAAGTGTAGAAATAAATTTGAAGCTCGAGATGACTTCCTCCAAAGAAGACTGACCTTTGCTTCTTAAAGGCACTTAGAGTGGTTCAGCTTAATCAGAGCTTGAGGTGGTTTGAGGCTGATTTTCAGGCTTTGTGAAGTCTGCTTCATGCACTTACTTTTGCCAATTCCTTACCCTGCCCGGGCTTTTGTGCTCTTCTGATATGAATTCTCAAACACTGGCATTGGCAATTTACACTCCTGTGGTATGTAACATTCATAAAGTGTTTGGAAAATGATAGGTAAGGAATAGGCGTGGAGATGGGGTGGAAATGGTAGAAATGGAACTTAAAAAGCTTTTCTCCAGCCTGTCCCTCAGTGCTGTCTCCTGTAGCCCTTCACCCCAGGCTGTAGCCACCCACCTCCCATGCACATTTCAAACACATACCCCGTGGCTCCCCAGGAAGAGCTTGCTTTGTTGTTCTTGCTGTGACTGTTTGGTTCGTGTGTTTAAAGGTTCCCTCACTTCCATAGTTTCTGCAGGGTTGATTTTTGGGAAGGGAGCCAGCAGCCCATGCTATTCACCATCTTGGCAGGAATTAGAATCCCCTTCCAATGTCTTGCATTCATCCCAAGATACTGTGTGGCCCTGTCAACTTTAGAAATGTATATGCAGCAGTCTGTAAAAGGATACAGAATAAAGGTTATTGGTGAATACCGGTTTACTTTTGCTTGTTCCAATTTATTTTATTATTGTTATTATTTTAAATTGATCACTGTCAGAAAAGCTTGTTACAGCCAGGTGCAGTGGCCCACACCTGTAATCCCAGCACTTTGGGAGGCTTAGGCGGGTGGATCTCTTGAGGTAGGGTTCGAGACCAACCTGGGCAACATGGTGAAACCCCGTCTCTACCAAAAATATAAAAATTAGCTGGGCATGGTGGCACATGCCTGTAGTCTCAACTACTCGGGAGGCTGAGGCAGGAGAATTACTTGAACCCAGGAGGCGGAGGCTGCAGTGAGCTGAGATGGCACCACTGTACTTCAATCTAGGCGACAGAGCAAGACTCTGGCTCAAAAAAAAAAAAAAAAAAAGAAAAGCTTGTTCCAATTTATGGATGATTAAATATAATAGATCAGACTGGAAGGGGAACACATTTGACACTATTTATTTTACTCACCAGTATTTAAATGATATTCCTATTTTTTACCAAATGCTGTATCTTTTCTGTTTTATATTCCTACTCACTTGTGTGTGTGTGTGTGTGTGTGTGTGTGTGTTTTGAGATGGAGTTTCGCTCTTGTTGCTCAGGCTAGAGTGCAATGGCGCGACCTCTGCTCACCACAACCTCCACCTCATGGATTCAAGCAATTCTCCTGCCTCAGCCTCCTGAGTAGCTGGGATTACAGGCATGCGCCACCATGCCTGGCTAATTTTGTATTCTCAGTAGAGATGGGATTTCTCCATGTTGGTCAGGCTGGTCACAAACTCCTGACCTCAGGTGATCTGCCCTCCTCGACCTCCCAAAGTGTTGGGATTATAGGAGTGAGCCACCAATTAAGTAATAATTGGTATTACTACTCCTGTAATACCAATTATTATTTAATAATTTAATTAAATAATAAATTAAATTATTATTTAATTTTAACATTCAGCTTAACCAGAAACAGAAAATTTATCATTAATGTATTTTCATACTTTATATTTCAGAACTACCTTACTTTTAACCCAACAAATAATAAAGAATTGGTGAGCAATAGTAAAACACAGGCAATATATTATGCATGGGTAAGTAGAAATATTTTGATTTGTCTTAAATGTGGGTAGAAGTATGTGTTCATTCTTTGAGTACGAATGTTTCAGTAATGTAACAATATAGTATCTCTACTTAAGAAGCAATGAATATATATTAAAATGTTTTTATTTAATTATAGTGTTTAGTCCCATTTGAAATTAGTGTATTAAATCAGAAGCAAATAATTCAATTTTATTTATTAAATTTTATTAAAGCAATGAGGCAAATGTTTATTTGAATTTATTTAACAAGACTAAAATACAAGTTTTGTGGCTTTTTTGGAGACAAGGTCTCGCTATGTTGCCCAGGCTGCCTCAGACTCCTGGGCTCAAGTGATCTTCCCACTTTATCCTCTCAAGTAACTGGGATTAGAGGGGTGAGCCGGCCATACCTGGCTCTAAAATACTGATTTTTTTGAGACCTTGGTCTTTTTTCCCTTTTAGAAAGGAATTAACAAACAGATTAGTGATACATATACTGACACAGGGCCAAATCATGAGAATAAAAAACATTGAGGCTGAGTACAATGGCTTGTGACTGTATTTCCAGCACCATGGGAGGCCAAGGCAGGAGGATCACTTGAGGCCAGGAGTTTAAGACTAGCCTGGGCAACATAACAAGACCTCATTCCTACAAAAAATTATTTTAAAAAATTAACAGCGCATGGTGATGCATGCCTGTAGTCCCAGCTGCTCAGGAGACTGAGGCTGAAGGATTGCTTGAGCCCAGGAGTTTGAGGCTGCAGTGAGCTGTGATGGTGATGGTGCCACTGCACTCCAGCCTGGGCAACAGAGTGAGACTGTCTCAACAAAACAAAACACAACAAAACAAAAAACGTTCCAAGTTAAACATGGAATAACTATGTGACTCAGCAATTCCAAGGTAAGATGTAAAAGAATTGAAAAGAAGCATTCGAACAAATACTTCTACACAAATGTTCACAGCAGCAGCAGCGCTATATGGTGATTTGTAATAACCAAAAGGTAGAAACAAGCCAAATGTTCATCTACTGATGATTAGGTAAACAAAATGTGGCCTGTCCATACAATGGAATGTTATTGTATGAAGTACTGATACATGCTGTGACATGGAGCAGCCCTGAAGGCCTGATGCTAAATGAAAGACCCCAGACATGAAAGTCACATGTTGTATGATGCCATTTCTATGGAACGTCCAGCATAGGCAAGTCCACAGACACAGAGGAAACTGGTGGTTTTCAAGTCCTGGGGAGAGACGGAGTAGCTGCTTAATGGGTAGGAGGTTTCCTTTTGGGGTTATGAAAATGTCTTGGATCTAGATGGTTGCTCAGCATTGTGAATGTATGAAAGACTACTGAATTGTACACTTTATGATTAATTGTACATGTTATGATTAATTTTATGTTAAGTGACACTTTAACGTGGTTATGATTAATTTTATGTTAAGTGAATTTTACCTCAATAAAAAATTGTAAAGCAAAACCAAAACACATTGAATCACTGATTGTCAGTGACAGTCATTATTTAAGATATTTATTATGTCTTTATTTTATTTTATTTTTGAGATAGGGTCTCACTCTGTCACCCAGGCTGCAGTGCAGTGGTGCGATCTCAGCTCACTGCAACCTCGGCCTCTCAGGTTCAAGCAATTCTCCTGTCTCAGCCTCCCGAGTAGCTGGGATTACAGGAACCTGCCACCACGCCTGGCTAATATTTGTATTTTTAGTAGAGATGAGGTTTCTCCGTGTTGGCCAGGCTGGTCTCAAACTCCTGACCTCAAGTGATCCACCCACCTTGGCCTCCCAAAGTCCTGAGATGATAGGCGTGAGCTACCATGCCCAGCCAATTGTGACTTTACTTAGTACTTAATACAAATTCAAATTATCTATTAATAAGGCTTTAAAACTTTAATAAATACCTTAAGGTCGGCCACAGTGGCTCACGCCTGTAATCCCAACACTTTGGGAGGCTGAGGAGGGCGGATCACCTGAGGTCAGGAGTTCAAGACCAGCCTGGCCAACATGGCAAAACCCCATCTCTACTAACAAAAAAAAAAAAAAAAATTATCTGGGCACGGTATTGCGCTCCTGTAATCCCAGCTACTCAGGAGGCTGAGGCAGGAGAATTGCTTGAACCTGGGAGGCAGAGTTTGCAGTGAACTGAGATCGCGCCACCGCACTCCAGGCTGGGCGATAGATGTGTTTCTGTTTAAAGACACCTTATTTAATGTATAACTCCATCTCAAAAAAAAAAAAAGTCATAATCATTTGTGGTATTTTAAATATTTTTTATGTATTTGCTTTTCTTTCAGAATGTTTTTAGATATTTCCCAAGGCAGCAAGTTCTCTCACCTGTAGAAAATGCACATTTCTGACCTTGTTTAGATGTATTTGTTTTGGTTTTATTATTAATATAGTTCTTCCTTTGGAAACTGGGTCTTTTTGAGTAGTGATTATTTTTTCCTCTTATCAGTATGAAGAGAGGGATACACTGGCTCACAGCGCCCCACTTTTAACAGAAAAAGTGAGTATGCCTGTTGCATTTTTGTCCTTCAGATTTTGTGGAGAATAAATATTTATTTGCAAACTTAGCTGCTTCGGGCTACTCTTTGTACATCTTGACATTAAGCTACTGGGAAATAATTGGAAAAATTTTACTTGGGTCCCGTATACATATTGAATTGTCGGTTGAAAATAATGGAAGTATTGTTAAAAATAAAATGTTATAAAAAGAGCTACTGCCGTGAGAAAATATAAAAAAGTGATGGCTTTTAGAATGTGTATGTGCATATTGACAAGGAAGGAAAGTTGCGGGGTGCAGTGGCTCTCATCTGTAATCCCAGCACTTTGGCAGACCGAGGTGGCAGGATCACTTGAGCTCAGGAGTTTGAGACCACCCTGGGCAACACAGGCTAGACTTTGTTTCTACTAAAAAAAATTAAAAAAAAAAATTACCAGCCAGGGTGGTATGAGCCTGTAGTCTCAGCTACTCAGGAGACTGAGGTAGGAGGATCCCTTGAGCCCTTGAGCCCAGGTGATCGAGGCTGCAGTGAGCTGTGTTTGTACCACCACATTCCAGCCTGGGCAACAGAGCGAGACCCTGTATTTAAAAAAAAAAAAAGAATAAGCAGAGTTTTTGAACGTGAGTGGATCCCTTATAAAGCTACTCAGTTTCAGAATAATACATGATATTAGGTATTTAGATGTTTAAGAGCCAATAAGAGGGAGGTGAACCAGATGTTGAGAAAACATTTTGTCTTGCTTGCTTACTGCAAGCTCTTGTGTCTGAGGTGGAACTTGAGTCGTCTCCTGTAGCATATTCTGCATTTGCTGCCCATGTAACCTGCGCTCAGGGAGCACGTGATGATGAGTTTCCTGCATACTTGCTTCTCTCTTGGTATGATTTGTAGAAATTTATTTCTTAAGAGGGCATGCCAAAAGACAAAAACAGAAAATAAAAAGTTGAGACGAATGGGCACAAGGAGATTATTCTGTCTGTAGACTTGTTTTTCATAAATGAAAGTACTAAAAAATACTGTCAATTCTCATTGTTGTTGGTAGTTATGTTCTATAAAGTCTCTGCAAACACCAAATTAGCAGATACTAAATTATTGCTCTTAAGGGAAATATAGGGTAGGTTTCTTTGAGCCTCTGGTCACATTTTCACCAACTAACTGATCAATACATAACCTTGTTTTATGTGTATTCATGTTTAAAGACATTTTATTTAATATATAACATTGATTCATTAACATTGAGCTCATGGCCAACAGCACTGTAACTCATGACTTGAACGAAACTCATCTAACCCATGTATTTTCTCCATAAGGCACATCATAGCATTCTTTTGCTTAGGAACACTAGATAGCACTTCAGCACTATGTTTGGGGGTCAATTTAAATACGAAAATCACCAAGAAAAAGCACCCAAAAATGCAAACAACATGGCACTAAATAGACCATGAAAAGGACACTTGTTTATAGTCAGAGCTGAGACAAGAAGGCAGAGCATTGCCCTGCTTGCCCTCAACTGGAAATGTGCATGTTGAGTGAGTAAAATTATTTGTCACACTGCACATGCACTTCGGCAAATGACCGTGAGAGTGCTGCAAGTATTGATTTTTGGATTACAAATCAATTCTTACAAGTAGGTGAATTTGCAAATACAGAACCCACAAATAATGAGCCATTTGAAATGATAAAAATGTGTTGAAACAGTGCTGCTCTTAGAAAGAACTTGGTGCTCTTGCTTGACTAATTATTATTTTACTATTCCTCTTGTGTTCAAATCAGAAGAGGTAAACCTTCGGATCTTCTCTGTATTATTAGAGAATTGGGCAGCATAGAGAATAGGGCATTTCTGTGTATAGTGCTTAAATATTTTCTACTGATGGGAAAATACCTTATGATCAAAGGAGACTGGGAGAATTATTTTATGCTACTTTATAACCAGAGCATGCTTTGACTCACAACAGGCATTAGTTTCTTCACCAGTCTCTGAAACCTCCATAAGAGAAATTTAACAGGTATAAACAGTGAATAACCACTCTCTCATTTGCTTTAAACAAACAATGTAATTGAACAGAGTACATAACCCTTCACTTGCTCTTAGCAAACCTCCAGAGGTTCAGAACTGCCTGGACCATGGCAATCCACGGGAGATGGTTTTAGTGATTGTTTTCTTTTTCTTTCTCTTTTTCTCACTATATTTCAGCATAACATTATAAAATATCATGTTGATAAATGCTTTGTTTTATATTTATTACCAACAGTAACTATAACCTTTCTTTTGAAACACAGACCTTCAACAAGCTTGTGGGAAAGTTTAGCCAGTCCATCTTTCACTTGAATTTAACACAAATACTCTCAGCAACAATGGAAGGGAAGCTGGTTGTCTGGGACATACATCGCCCACCCTCATCTGCCTCCACCTTTTTGGGCTTTCCCTATATCAAGCCTTGTAAATTGGTTCATTTGCAGAAAGAGGGCATCACTGTGCTTACTACAATTGATAGGTAATTTTAACTTAATTAAAAGGTAGCTATGGATGATTATAAAAATATTTAAAAATTGTTATGGGAGGTTGGGCATAGTGGCTTACACCTCTAATTTCAGTTCCTTGGGAGGCTGAGGTGGGAGGATCACATGAGGCCAGAAGTTCGCGACTAGCCTGGGCAACACAGTGAGACCCTATCTCTACCAAAAAACAAAAAAGAAAGAGAGATAGGAGGATTGCTTGAGCCCAGGAGTTTGTCAGAGCGAGACTCTCCTGTCTTGAAAAACAAAACAAAACAAAACAAAACCTCTTTTGGATGTATATGCATATTTTGTATATGCATAGAGTATTCTGGGGAGAGTCATAATGAACTGGGAAGATTGGTTGCCTCTGAGGAAAAGAACTGAGAACTAAGATCAGGGATCGGGGGTGGATTTACTTCTTTTTATAGTTCCATTTATACTAATTGGATTTTTAAAAAAAATCATGAGCATGCATTATGTTAAAAAAAAATCCCTTTGTGTTGGTGAAACAAAAAGGAACTAGATTTTTTCTTCTGTGCTAATTGGATAGATTTTGCATGCAACATTTTACATGCATTAAATGTAAGAAAATAATTTGAATAACTACATTGTTTTTGTCTGATTACAAAATAACATTTACAGTTCGGAGCGGTGGCTCATACCTGTAATCCCAGCACTTTGGGAGGCCGAGGCGGGTGGTCTCAGGAGTTTGAGACCAGCCTAGCCAACATGGTGAAACCCTGTCTCTACTAAAAATATAAAAATTAACCAGGTGTGGCGGCATGCGGCTGTAGTCCCAGCTTCTCAGGAAGCTGAGGCATGAGAATCACTTGAACCCAGAAGGCAGAGGTTGCAGTGAGCCAAGATTTCACCACTGCACTCCAGTCTGGGTGACAGAGCAAGACTCAATCTCAAAACAAAACAAAAATAATATTTACCCATTGTGAGAAGATCAAATGCATCAGAACATAATAAAATTCACTAACTCTGATTTTGAGTGGCTGTGGGGACTCACAGATGGTCATTAAGTCTTCAATTAGGACAGGGTTCTTATTTCAGCTGGGTCCCTTCCTTACTGAGTGACCTTGAGAAAGGAACTTAATCTTGCTGAGCCTCTATTTCTTCATCTGTAAAATGGGCATAATGGTACTGTTTCTCTCAGAGTGGTTTTATGAGGATTTCACGAGATAGGGATGTAAAACTCTTTGCACATGCTTGGTGCAGGGGAACCCTAGGTAAATGGCAGCCATCATCAGCGTGTGAGAGAAGTTCTCGAAGGTGTGGAGAAAATTGCCTAGTGACAGGGACCCTGCCCATATGGTTAGAGTCACTGGGCCATCTGCTTTCAGAACGCCCATTTGCTTCCATTCGCCTTTTGATGCAGGGGAACAGTGAGGTCTTGACATGGTTTTACAAAGAGAAATGCAAATTGTCACCCTCACTCAGTGGGGTGAGAAGATAGTAGAACTGCAGTTGGCCGTGATGCAATCAACCTTTACTCGGTTGGGGGTTAGGATCTAGTGAAGACCAGGCCTGAGTTCTCCAAGTTAATAAAACCCAGTCAGGATCTGTGAGTCCAAGAAGGAAAAGGTCTCTGAAAATACTTGGTCAGTATTGCTGCTTCTGTCCAGCAGAGGGCAGTGGCAGACGTTCAAGCCAATTACTCAGCCCACCTGCCTTGCTTATTAATCAGAAACCTCATTTAACCACTCTGCATATGTAAGAGAAAATCCTCCTCGTCTGCCCCCCGTGATTAGAATTATGTCAAAGTCTTTTTTAAAAAGTCCATTTGGGATGGATCTGAGGACTGGAAATGAAAGCCATTTTGTCACGTGGCACTGCCTTCTGCCGTGATGACTGGATAGGGTTTTATGATCACACTAACAGTAGTGCCTTCCTGTAAAGTGCTAGTGTCCCATTGCCAGCTTGCATGATTTTGGAGGACTGGTGGAGCGATTCTCTCCATGGTCATCTGTAGTTATATGGGAAGTGTAAATCCTTGTCCACCGCCATTGTGTATGGCTGATCTTGGCGGGCAGGGAAGAACCTAGCAGAGAGCATGGACTTTGCTTTAGACATACCTGGGTTCCCTGCATAGTCAAGCCACATGGCCCTGGTAAAATTGCCAAGTATAAATATGCCCCATGCAATATTTGGGATATACTTATGCTAAATTTTTTGTTTGTCTGTCTATTTTGTTTTTTGTGATGCAGTTTTGCTCTTGTCACCTAGGCTGGAGTGCAGTGATGCAATCTTGGCTCACTGCAACCTCTGCCTTCCGTGTTCAAGCGATTCTGCTGCCTCAGCCTCCTGAGTAGCTGGGATTATAGGTGCGCACCACCACACCTGACTAATTTCTGTATTTTTAGTAGAGGTGAGATTTCACCATGTTGGCCAGACTGGTCTCAAAGTCCTGACCTCAGGTGATCCACCCAATTCGGCCTCCCAAAGTGCTGGGATTACAGACATGAGCCACCATGTCCAGCTACACTAAATTTTTTTATACAAATATTCAAACGTAACTGGGTATCTGTATTGTTATCTGCTAAATCTGGCAACACAATGCCCTGAGCAAATTTCTTAACTCTGTGAGCGTTAGTTTCCTAGATGTAAATTGGGATAACAGTAAAATCATTCTCATCAGGCAGTATTAAATTAAGTTTTTGCAATGCCCCAGAATCCAGAGCCTGACATATAATTAGGTATTATATAGATGCTACTTGTTATTATTGCAATTTGCAAAACTGATGTTATTCTCCATTTCAGCTACATTGTCACAGGTGACATTAAGGGTAACATTAAGTTCTATGATCACACCCTGTCTATTGTTAACTGGTACAGTCACTTGAAACTGGGCGCCATAAGAACTCTGTCCTTTTCAAAGACCCCAGCAACCCCTCCTACCGAAAAATCAAACTATCCTCCTGACTGCACTTTAAAAGGTGACCTCTTTGTCGTAAGGTAAGTTGTTAATGAATCTAGTCATTAGAATGGTTGAAAAATGATCGCTGTCTTCTTTAGTTTGCATGCAGTGGGAGGTTCGTGTTGTTCCTGGGATATCTCCCTGGCTGATTGTGATAACTATTGGATCATTTAAAAAATTAATGAAACATGACTTTAATATTAAGACTCTTTAGTAACTGGAAGCTGGAAGGTCCTGATCCCTGAGCTCTCACCTCTGTTGAGTTTGGAGTCTTTGGCTGCAGGTTGGTCTCTTTTCTCTAAGCTGAGCTTGTCCTAGCCACTGCGGTTAAAGGCACTGGATAATTAATAGCCATAACATTTCAAGACCGAATTATCTGTGAGTCTGCTTAATTACCCTTGCAGTATTTACAGGCACATCTGTATGTGTGCACCAAACTCCATATTTGCATACACAAATGAATATTTGCATGTGCAGATTAGCTAATTGTACAACTGACTGTCCATCTGCATACTTAATGACTCAATTTACATGGAGAAAAGTGGGCTTTTTCACTTGCAAATGGAGGCTGTTGGGTATTGGTGGTATATTTTTGGAAATGTTGGGTTAATAATGTCACTAAATTACAGACGACAGAGGCGTTTTATGTGCAATTAGAAGCAGAATAGCTGGCATGCCCCATTCCCTGCAAACACTGATATTGTTTGGTCTCTCCTTGGCAAACAGGAATTTTATCATTGGAACATCTGATGCCGCGGTGTACCACTTAACAACAGATGGGACCAAACTTGAGCAGTTATTTGTAGAGCCCAAGGATGCCATTTGTGCCATCTCCTGCCACCCCTATCAACCCCTCATTGCCATCGGGAGCATCTGTGGGATGATCAAAGTGTGGAATTATGAAAACAAACAATATCTTTTCAGCAGGGTTTTTGAGAAGGGGCTTGGAGTCCAGAGTCTGACCTACAACCCGGAAGGTATTTTCATCTTATCAGCCTACCATCGGTTCCACATGGACAGCCCCAAAAGGGATGGATGCACCTGGGCTGGCATAGCTCCAGGAAGTCTCCCCGACTCCAATGCCCAGCAGGCTGGATGAGGCGCCTTCTCTCTGGGGCTCCCATGGTATTCTGGGCCTAGTGCTCTCTGCGCGTCTCTGTGCGCTAACCCCAGGAGATCATGCGTTTCGGTTCATTTCTCTGCACAGGAGCTTTGTTGTGTTAGTTGCTGTCTTCTCCACACCCAGAACAAAGCCTGGCACAGACTCAACATCTCTTGAATGAATGTAATCCTTTTCCATCGTTGTTCTCTGGCTTGTCATTTCAGGAGCCCTTCTTGGAGCTGGTTTTACAGAGGGGACAGTTTACATTCTTGATGCAATGTCTTTAGAAAATGAAAGCCCAGAGCCTTTCAAATATTCCAGAACCAGTGTGACTCATATAAGCTTTTCCCATGACTCCCAGTATATGGCAACTGCTGTAAGTATTTTCACGGACCACCCATCCAGTGGCTTAGCAATTTTATTTGAAACCAAAAGAGGCCAGACATAGTGGCTAACACCTGTAATCCCAATGATTTGGGAGGCTGAGGTGGGAGGATCATTGGAGGACAGGAGTTCACGACCAGCCTAGGAAACACAGCAGGACCCCATTGCTACAAAAACATTGTTTAAAAATTAGCCAGGCCTTGTGGCACACATCTGTAGCCCCAGTTATCCAGGAGGCTGAGGCGGGAGGACCCCTGGGGACCAGGAGTTTGAGGTTACAGTGAGCTATAAGGCAGTTATGTTGGTCTGTCTTTATGTTGGGAGGGGAAAAGCAGTGGTCTTCACTAAACTCCTGTCCCTTCCAGCGCTCTCCGTCTCCACGCTGGTGCGGCCACTCCTCTGGTTTGTGTACACAATGCTTCTGAAGACAAAGCCATCTCAGCACACTGTGGGCACACACAGTCCAGCCTCTGTGTCCCCTCAGGCCAGGCTCCCACCCCGACCTGGTTCACTCGCAGCCTTCATACCTTTCAAAAACACATGGCTTTTTTTATTGTATGTAGCTGGACAAAGAAAAGGGAGGACAAAGGCGCAAAGAATCAGGCTTTTGCCTTTCCACAGACAGCGAGGGAAGAGTGTAAGACCATAGTGTCACCTTCATACTTTTCCCCTGACTACCTTTTCAGTTTTTCTGCTTTTAACTTTAATTTTCTTGTCTGTAAAATGGGCATTAGGCCAGGTGTAGCTCATACCTGTAATCCCAGCACTTTGGGAGGTCGAGGCAGTCAGATTGCTTGAGGCAGGAGTTCGAGACCAGCCTGGGCAACATGGTGAGACCCCATCTCTACAAAAAATAAAAAAAAAAAAAAAAAAAAACTAGCCAGGTATGGTGGTGTGTGCCTGTAGTCCTAGCTACTTAGGAGGCTGAGGCTGGAGGATCTTTTGAGCCCAGGAGACTGAGACTGCAGTGAGCCGTGATCAGGCCACTGCACTCCAGCCTGGGCAATAGATCAAGACTCTTGTCTCAAAAAAAAAAAAAAAAAAAACTCTAAAAGGGAAATTGTTTTACTATTTGCTTGAATAGACTAAGATTTTTTTGAAGAAAATATTCTTAGTATTTTTTTTTTGATAGGGTCTTGTTCTGTTGCCCAGGCTGAAGTGCAGTGTTACAATCTTGGCTTGCTGCAACCTTCTCCTCCCAGGTTCAAGGAATTCTGTGTCAGCCTCCCAAGTAGCTAGAATTACAGGTGTGTGCCACCACGCCCAGCTAATTTTTGTATTTTTAGTAGAGATGGGGTTTTGCCATACTGGCCAGGCTGGTCTTGAACTCCTGACCTCAGGTGATCCACCTGCCTCGGTTCCCAAAGTGCTGGGATTACAGGCATGAGCCACCACACCCGGCCCATAATGATGATTCTTAATTTACGAAACGTAAAACGGGATAACTCCTTCTCTTTTGCTCATCTTCAGGATAGAAGTTTTACTGTGGCTGTTTACATGCTGGTGGTCAGAAACGGACAGAGGGTCTGGGAGTACTTAGCAAGACTTCGTTCTCATCGCAAAAGCATTCGAAGTCTCCTGTTTGGGGTTTACCTGGACAGCAATGAGCCTAGACTGCTGAGCCTTGGGACAGACAGGCTCTTGGTGAGCTATTTACTTTTCGTTGACCTGGTCACCAGGACTGTGTCTCACTCTTGTGACATCCCTGGCATACTGCATAGAGCCAGGCGCACAGTATGTGTGTTTGTTGGAGAAAATGAGTGCACAGTGAAGGATCACAAACCTCTCCAGGTTGGCATTTTGCCTTAACATGCCTGGGACACCACCTGGGGATTCCTGTTCTGGACGAGGAGGCTTCCGGGCAGCAACAAGTCAGAAGGCAGGGAGCGGGGAGTTCCCCACAGCGTGGAAAGCAGCCGCCCTCACCTCCCAGTGTGCACGGGGAGGGCCGACACTCACTAACACTGTCTTCATGTCCAGCAGTTGGGGCCAGGCTACTACCTAAATATGAAAACTAGGAGACGTTGTGAGATAAGAGGAAAAGGTAGGGACAGTGGCAAATGCGATATTACAGGGTCAGGTGAAATGGATTCAAAATCAACCAGTCAGTGTATCTGTCTGTTTTTCCTTCCTTCCTCCCTCCCTCCTTTCCTCTCCCCATCTCTCCCTCCCTCCCTTCCTTCCCTCCCTTTCTTCTTCCCTCCCTCCCCGACCCCTCCCTTCTGTCTCTTGCCTTCCTTCCTTTATTCAGTTTATCCATTCATTCATCCGTCTGTCCATCCATCCGTCCATCCATCCATCTGTCCATCCATCCATCCATCCATCCACCCACCCACCCATCCATCCATCCAACCATCCACCCATCCATCCATCCATCTATTCTGCCCTGCCCATGAAAACATACCTGTATGGACCCAGTTCAGCGGCTGCTGATTTGCGATTGCCAAGTGCTGGGCTGAGATTTAGATGAATTAGTTCCTAAGATAATAAGTGACACAGTATAACAGAACTGTAAGATGTCAGGTGTGGGAGTCAGCTGGATCTAAATGTGAATTTTTGAATTTTTACTCTGCCACTTTTTAGCTATGTGACCTTGGATAAGCCACTCTGACCATCCTTGAACATCTGTTTTCTCATCTGTAAAATGGGCACAACAGTACTCCTTTGCAGGGAAGTTCTGAGGATGACATGACAGATGTTTTTAGAGCACTCAGCTCATTGTCTTCCGGATAGTGAATTCTCAGTACTGATGACTTAGTGTCGGTTCTAGGCAAGTCTTCTGTTGGGAGACCTGATACCATATCCTGGAGAACAGCACTGTTGCTGATAATTATAAAGGCTGTCACCCAAGAGCTAGGGGCTCTTTAGCTGAGCCTTTAATTTGGCTCAGTCCTCATGTGTGTCCATCTGGGCTCCTCTGCAGATAGAGTATGATCTTCTCAGGAGCTACAAAGACTGCCTGGAAGTCCTGGACATTCACCACACAGACCAGGGCTGCTATCCCACCTGCATGGTCTGGTACCCACCACTCACCAGGGAACTCTTCCTGCTTATTTGCAACAGTGGCTACAAAGTGAAGCTTTTTAATTCTACCACCAAAATGTGCAGGTAAGCACCCGCAGCTTCCCACTGTAGGGGGTGTGGATCGAGTTCTCTGCCCCCAGCCTGTTTCAAGTCTCTATGCAGGGACCTGCAAGCAGCTTGGCTACTATCATCATCCTCTTTGCTTTGCAGAGGAGGAAACTGAGGCACAGATAACGTAAGTAACTCTCACCAAGGTCATGTGGCCCTGCGTGGAGGTGAGATGTGCAGAATCCAGGAAGGACACAGACTTGCGGCCCTGGGAAGGTTGCTGATGCTGTCTCCTGTTCTCCTCTCGTTAGGAAAAGCATAGTTTTACCCAGCTACTAACAATCGTTTGATTTTTTCTTACTCTTGGGTCTCAAAGGAGTTGTAACTTTAATTGCTAGCACTCCTTTGTTCACACCCTGTGTGAGCCAGGTACTGTTTTAGGTGCTGAAGACAAGGATGAAAACAAAACGGTTTCCATCACCGTGTAGTTTACATGTTGGTGGGGGGCAGGTGATGCAATAGTGTGAACAAGTAGCCAGGTAGTAGGTAGGTGGTAATCAGGTCTGTGCAAAGAAAAAAAAAAAAAAGGAAAAGGCAGGATGAAAAGATGGGGAGGCAGGGAAGGCCTTGGAGAGCAGGGGACATCTGAGCATCTGAACAGAGACTTGAAGAAAGCAAGGGGCTGCCTCCAGGTTGGAGGAAAAACAGTGGATCAGCAAGGGCCGATGAGTGAAGGTGGGGGGCGTCTAGGGTTTGGGAAATGCTGCGAAGGTTGGCGAGGCCAGAGTGGAGTGGGCAAGGAGGGGGTGTGGGAGAGCGGGTCAGAGGTGCGGGCTGGTGCCTGGCACACGGCACCCTGGAGACTCCGGCTCTTTCCCAGGTAAGACGAGAGCTAGTGGAGGGTTTTGAGCAGAGGAATGACATGTTCTGATTGATTCTTTACAATGATGTCTGGTTTCTGTACAGAGAGCAGACTCTGGGGCGCAAAGATAGAAGCAAGATTGGGGAAACTGGTGTGAGAGCTGATGGCGGCTTGGCCCTGAGGGCAGAAGGGAGGGTCAGATTCTGGATGTGTCCTGCTGGCAAAGCAAAATGGAGGGAAAAGGTGGTGTGAGGGAAGACACCTCTCGAAGCCGTTAGAATGGACTGGGCCTTTAAAGAGATGAGGGGGGCAACAGAAGGAGAGCTTCGAGATACACCGGGACTCAGACTGCACAAGGCAAGCTTCACATGCCTGCTTGACATTTGGGTCGGAATCCACAAATAAGGCTCTGGAGTGTGGAGGTCCTAGGAGAGGCTGGGCTGGAGTCAGGAGCACAGGATGGTTGAAGGCATGAAATGGGGAAGACACTAGCCGGGGAGCAGGGTGTCTGCATCCGGGGAGCAGGGCATCCACCGCCCAGCATCCTAGAGCGGCGTCTCCTCCCTCCTGACACCATCCTGCGCATGCCCGTGGGCCCCTGTGCTTCGGCCCCTGTGAGCCCTCACAACAAACACTGTCATCCCGTTCCCTTGTCCACAGCCCTGCTAAGTATTCTCCCACTGAAGAAGTTGGAAGGGAGAATGTTTCAGTGATCCACCACAGCCACCACCACTGCCACTGCCACTGCCACCACCACCGGAAGAAGGAAATCAGGGAACTGGCCGCAGCTGGCTCAGGCTTGAGGACTATCATGGTTTTGAAATGTATCTCAGATAAGACAGGTCCTCAAAAGGCCAGGACTACCTGGGATGTTTTGTTGTCGTTGTTGTTGTTTTAAACAGTTCTTTCCCAGAAGGCACAAGAAAAAATGACTGAGAAATGCCATGTTTTATGGTAGAGAGAGAAATCCAGGACAATTTTCTTAAGCGATTAAAACACTTGAAAGCATGTGTAAAGAGGAGCTTTAGAAAGACTTCAGAGTCATTGCGCATAGTTTTTAATGAACACATACTTTTTGGACAAAGAATATCTCTCGGATATGCGCAGTCCTAAGACACTGAACTGGCAGAGCTGGAGAATGAGGGCTGGCAGACCTCGGGCCTGAAGTTCCTGCTAATGGTCATTCACTGGAGGAAAGAGGCAGGAGGGACTTTCAGACACAGAGTTGGGAGCTTCTGCCTAATGATGATCAATCTGAAATTAGCATAAAGCAGCTTAAAAAAATTTATCAAGGTGATACTCATGTAACATAAAATGAACCATTTGAAAGTGAACAGTTCAGCTGGGCACGGTGGCGAATGCCTGTAATCCCAGCACTTTGGGAGGGGCCGAGGTGGGTGGATCACCTGAGGTCAGGAGTTCGAGACCAGCCTGGCCAACATGGTGAAACCTCATCTCTACTAAAAATACAAAATTAGCCGGGCATGGTGGCAGGCGCCTGTAATCCCAGCTACTCTGGAGGCTAAAGCAGGAGAATCGCTTGAACCCGGGAGGTGGAGTTTGCAGTGAGGCGGGATTGCACCAACCACTTTACTCCAGCCTGGGTGACAGAGCAAGACTCTGTCTTAAAAAAAAAAAAAAAAAGAAAAGAAACAGTTCCGTGGCATTTAGTACTCACAGTGCTGTGTAACCCCCACTCTAGCTTCAGAGCATTTCCATCATTCCAGAATAAAAGCCCTTGAATAAAGCATCTTTTAAGCTGTAGGAATAAGGAAGCCTCATAACCGTGGCTTAATTGGGAAGGAATTGTCTTTTCATGATAAATCCAAAAGAATTTAAAAATGCATTTAAAAAATATTTGAAAGAACATGAAAAGGCAGTTCACAGGAAAAGGCCAATAAACCTATGAGCAGATGCTCACTAGCATGTCAAAGATGCAAATGAAAACAAGATATCATTTTTTCACCAATCAGATTAGCAAAGATAAAAATGATTGATAGTGCTTAGCATTGGCAAGAGGCTAGGGAAACGGGCACTCTCATCCGCTGCTGGGGGCGGGTGTGAATCAGTGTAACCTTTTGGGAAAGCAATTTGTCACCCTCTATTAAATTTTATCATATCTTCTGACTTCTAGGAATGTAGCCCACAGAAGTACTCACACAGTATGCCAAGACATAAGTAAAAGGATGTCTTGTTTGAAAATATTTTTAAAAATGGAAACAATCCAAATGCCCATTAATAGGGGATTAGTTAAACGATGGCTTGTCAGTACACTGGAACACGATGCTGCTTTTAGAAAAGAAAAAAAGAGGAAGAGTAAGACAGCTCTCTGTGTAATTACATGGAAATATCTCAAAGATGTAATATGAGATAAAGCAAATTACCAATGAAACATGAATAGCATAATTCTATTTTTATATAAAATTATAATTACAAAAGAAATTCTTGAGTCATATACACCAAACTATTACTCATGATTATCTTGGGATAGGGTGCAGCAATGTGGAGATATAGATTTTCTCCTCCTCCTTCTTCTTTTTTTTTTTTGAGGCAAGGTCTCACTCTATTGCCCAGGCTGGAGTGCAGTGGCATGATCCCGGCTCACTGGCTCACTGCAACCTCGACCTCCCAGGCTCAAACAATGCTCCCACCTCAGCCTCAGGCCACCAAGCCAGGCTAATTTTTCGTAGAGACAGGAAACTACTGTATTGCCCAGGCTGGACTCAAACTCCTAACCCCAAGCAATCCTCCCACCTTAGCCTCCCACAGTGCTGGGATTATGGGCATCAGCCACTGTGTTCTGCCCAGGACCAGAGTCTTAAAACCTATGTTGAGATTTATGGAATTTTTAAAACTCAACTATTCTCTTGGCTTCGCTTCTCTTTTCTCTTTTCTTTTCCTTCTTCCTTTCGATGGAGTCTTGCTCTGTCACCCAGGATGAAGTGCAGTAGCATGATTTCACCTCACTACAACCTCCACCTCCCAGATTCAAGCGATTCTCATGCCTCAGCCTCCTGAGTAGCTGGGACTACAGGTGCGCACCACTACACCTGGCTAATTTTTTATTTTTAGTAGAGATGGTGTTTCACCATGTTGGCCAGGCTTGTCTTGAACTCCTGACCTCAGTTGATCCGCCTGCCTCAGCCTCCCAAAGTACTGGGATTACAGGCGTGAGCCACCATGCCCCATCCATGACCAAAGAGTCTTTTTTTTTTTTTTTTTTTTTGAGACGGAGTCTCACTTTGTCACCTAGGCTGGAGTGCAGTGGCGCAATCTTGGCTCACTGCAACCTCCACCTCCTGGGTTCAAGTAATTTTCCTGTCTCAACCTCCCGAGTAGCTGGGATTGCAGGCGCCCGCCACCATGTCTAGCTAATTTTTGTATTTTTAGTAAAGACGGAGTTTCACCATATTGGCCAGGCTGGTCTCAAACTCCTGATCTTGTAATCTGCCTGCCTCAGCCTCCCAAAGTGCTGGGATTACAGGCGTGAGCCACTGCACCCAGCCTGACCAAAGAATCTTAAAACCTATGTTGAGATTTGTGGAATTTTAAAAACTGTTTCTCTTTTTGCCTTCAGAAAGACGCTTATGGGGCCAGCTTATGGTTCCCCTATTGAGCAAACACAAGTCCTCCCAGTGAGAAGCATGGCAGAGCTACAGAAACGCTACTTGGTGTTTATTAACAGAGACAAGGTAACAGCACCCTCTTCTCCAGCTCTGGGAGTTGACTCTGTGTGTCATGAGCAGCAGTCATTACCGAAGATCACAAGACTCAGAGAGTTCTGGGTTTACAGCCAAGCCCAACTGCTTCCACCCCGGTCAGCTGTGATACTGAAAATTGCCCTTGATGAGTTAGGAGGACTCTTGGGAGACATTTCTGAGCAGAGTTACTGCATTTTCTATATTCCCAGTGAAGTTACATGGGCCACCAAAGGATTTTCCTTCTTATTTATTTATGTGGAAAAACTCTTATAAAAATATGCAAATTGGCTGGGCGCAGTGGCTCACACCTGTAATCCCAGCACTTCCAGCACTTTGGGAGGCCAAGGCGGGCGGATCACGAGGTCAGAAAATCAAGACCATCCTGGCTAACACGGTGAAACCCCGTCTCTACTAAAAATACAAAAAAAATTAGCCGGGCATGGTGGCACATGCCTGTAGTCCCAGCTACTCGGGAGGCTGAGGCAGGAGAATGGCGTGAGCCCGGGAGGCGGAGCTTGCAGTGAGCCGAGATCGCGCCACTGTACTCCAGCCTGGGCAACAGAGCAAGACTCCGTCTAAAAAAAAAAAAATGCAAATTAGTTGCACTTTGTTGTACGTTTAATGAATAATCTACACCGAAAAGTGTAAAGTGGGGCTGGGCGCGGTGTAATCCTGTAATCCCAGCACTTCGGGAGGCCAAGGCGGGTGGATCATGAGGTCAGGAGATCGAGACCATCCTGGCTAACACGGTGAAACCCCATCTCTACTAAAAATACAAAAAATTAGCCGGGCGTGGTGGCGGGCGCCTGTAGTCCCAGCTATTTGGGAGGCTGAGGCGGGAGAATGGCATGAACCCGGGAGGCGGAGCTTGCAGTGAGCGGAGATCGTGCCACTGCACTCCAGCCTGGGCGAGAAAGCCAGACTCTGTCTCAAAAAAAAAGTGTAAAGTCATAGGTTGTGAGATTTATTCTGGAAAACCCGGGACAACTGACCATGAAGGCAGGGAGGAAAGCTTCCCTTCTGTGTATCTGTTAGAGCTGTGCGAGGGGCCCCTACCAGGGCTGGTGTGTGTGGATGCCCAGCTACATTATATGTGGCTCTCACCCTCAGAGATGGGTCCAGACACACAGGTCCTTCTGGCACACAGATCTGGAGGTGACATGTGAATGTGCCAGGCCTCTCGGGCCCAGCTACCTGAGTCTGAATATCCAATTATGTGTTCCTTTCTAGGTTGGACTTCAGATCTTACCAGTTGACGGCAATCCACATAAGACATCTGCTATTGTTTGTCACCCAAACGGGGTGGCTGGCATGGCCATTTCCTATGATGGCCGCTACGCCTTCACCGCAGGAGGGCATGATCGCTCTGTGGTGCAGTGGAAAATCACCTTAAGGTACACAACGGGGTGAGAAGGAAAGTACCAAGTGTAAACTCTGTTTCACTCAGCGACAGTGATAGACACTGAACCCCTACTGTGTGCCAGGTACTGTGCTAGGATGTCACAGGGCCTGGCCCTCAGGTTGCTCCCCGGTGGCATGGCTCACATTACTCTGCAGACGGGGGTTACTGTCCTGTTCCATGGACCAATGGTGTTTGCAGTTCAGGCAATGTGACAGCACCTTGGGGTCACCCCTGCTCCCTCAAATGCTTCTCCCTCTGCTCTGCATAGCCACACCTGCTAGAAAGATCTAGGCTGACCCTCCAAAGCATGCACTACGGAAATAGTAAGAGGATCATTTGACGTGGGTATTTTCGGCTTCTCCTCTCACCCTCCCTGCTCTGAACGGAGAACCTCTGCCTGAGGCGAGGCTGGAGAATTCGAGAGTTGAACATTGGAGAGTATGTGGACTTTGAGGTGAAAGGGGTAATATGAGTTTGAATATGGGGCCACTCTCTACTGGCTATGGGGCCTAGGGCAAGCTTCTTAACGTCCCTGATCTTTAGAGTCCTTGCCTGCGAAGTGGGGTGATAATAGGGACTTCTGTAGGATCCCTGTAAAGATCAGGCAGTTTAATATGGGAAAAGCGCCTAGCACAGAGCGAAGTACTCAGCAAGTGAATGATTTCCTTTCTTCTCTTCTTCCTGTAAGGGCATTTGCTTATGAGCTCAGGATCTTCCCTAACAAAGAGGGGACAAGCACCCACACTGTCCCCTCATCTACCCAAATTCAGCGTGCTGCCACAGGGCAGAGTCAACCACGTGGCAGCCGGTTCCTGTTCCTGACCACTTCTCCAAGCTGCTGCGCTGCCTGTGGCTCGCCTGGGCCTCTGTCCTGGCATTGTGACGTTGAGGAGCAAAAACAGCTCAGAGGCACCTTCCTTCCTCACAGAACAAACCTGATTCCTGGCTGCCAGCACAGTGTACCCCCTGCCATCTGCCAAGTGCACATCTTTCTTTTTATGGCGGATATTGAAGCTTCTACTCTTAACCTGAATATGAGCAAAAATAGCCAGTTAAATCTGCTTTGGAACCACGGTGTTTGAGATTGCACTTGCAGCTCTGACTTCCACCCCGCCTTCACCTGAGAGAGCAGGTCATGGGAACTTGGGGATTTAGGAGCTGGAGGTGAACTCTCCCATTGAAAAGGGATCATGGCCTCAGAATGGCTGCCTGGTTCCTTGCTCCCTGGCTTGTTGCCTGGAACCATGGGGACAAGGCACACCTTGTGGGGACAAGCAGAACCTTCCTTTCTATTTGTTGTTGTTGAGACAGGATCTGACTCGGTCACTCGGGCTGTAGTACAGAGGAGTGATCGTGGCTCACTGCAGCCTCGAACTCCTGGGCTCAAACGATTCTCCTGCCTCCGCCTCCTGAGTAGCTGGGACCACAGGCACATGCCACTGTGCCTGGCTAACTTTTAAAAAATTATTTTTTTGTTGATAGAGAGTCTCACCAAGCCTAGGCTGGTCTTGAACTCATGGGCTCAAGCCTTGGCCACCCAAAGTGTTGGGATTACAGATGCGAGCCACTGCACCCGGCTAGAACATTCTAAAATGTTTGTTTTCTTCTCAGTCGTCTTGGGATCTGGAATGGTAGAAATTTAAGAAAAAGAAAAAAAGGTCTCTGCTTTCCAATAGCTTTCGCCTGGCCAGAGTCCAGGCTTCTGAGAATTTCAATTTAATCTGTGGTGGGGACAAAGGATTATTATAAACTAATTAGCACTTCATTGCTGCTTCTGGTGACTTAATATGATCAGCACTTCACTAACAGAAAGAAATGTAAAAACCTAAACAAGTAACCAACAAAATTTCCTACTAGAGTCACTGACGATGAGTTGTAGGGGAGATAAAAATGATAAATCCCCTCACGTTCGATCATTTCAGTCAGTGCTCCCCTTGGCCCCAACTGCTACCATCACAGTCTATGGCACTTCTGCCCCAGGAGAGCCCCTTCCATCCCCTCTCTCAGGGTTCATTCCGCACACCCCTTCTTCTGCCCCTCCATGCTAGCATGCCACCCTTTCTCCTCTCCTTGTCTGGCATCTGTTTCAAAATCCCGCATTACTTCTTTGTGCTCAGCCTCCCTGCCTCCTGTCATCCTGCTGCCCTGCTCAGCCAAGAGCAGAGAGACCCTGATTTGAATCCTAGCTAGTCACTACCTGCTTGCTGGATGACGCCTGCCAAGTCCCTTCACTTCTCGGAGCCTCAGTTCCTCCAGCTGTTAAATGGGACTCCTCCCACCAAGTTGAGACCATTCCTCCTCCGCCTCCTGCAGGGAGCGTTGACAGAGCACCTACTGTGTGCTTGCCACAGGGCTGAGAACTCTAGCTCCTTCCCAGAGGTACTGTGTGGATTGCTGGGCACAGAGCAGGTTTTCAGTAAGTGTCATTTCCCTTTTCTGCCCTAATGACCTCTTTTCTGTTGCAAGTGTTAGAAACACAATTTAGGCAAAAGGGAACATATGAGAAGGTCATTGGGATCACATGTAGCTACACTGCAGGAAGGTCATGGACAGCGGCACACTTGTGCCCGCAGCGCTTGCTGTCCTCTCGGCCCTGCTGTTGGCTTCATTCTCTGCAGAACTGGGTTTCCTTACTCAGCAGGAAGATGGCCGCCCACAATTCCCAGATTTCACAAATTAGAACTCTCACCACAGACAGAGGACGTCTCTTTCCCAGCGTGGGTTGGAGAAATCCCAGTTCGGTCCCCGGTCCCCTGTGGGGTCAGTGGATGGTGGCCAGGAGGCAGGGGATGTAGTGGAACTCTGAACACCGGGGCGGGAGCCGCAGGCTGTTCCCAGAGGACCAGGTGCTCTTGCCAGCCTTTCCCCTCAGGGGCTCCTGGTGGGGACAGGCTCCTCTCTGTCACTTCCGGTCTTTACCTGCCCCTGCTCCAGAGTCACATGGCAAAAGTGGCCTTGCCACTCACGGAGCTTGTCGGGATTGGGCCTGGGCCTGGCCTGGAGGCCACAGAGAGGGAGCCCTCTCGGCTGGACACTTGCCTCCATGGCCTAATATTTGAGCTGAGAAGTGGGGAAGACACAGCCCTTCTGGAGGGGCCCTCAGGCACCCCTGGAGAATACCCAGGTTCCTCAGACCTTAAGCCAACCCGTAGGCTTATGCATGCCTCGGTGAGAGGACCCAGGACAGTGCGTAGCAAACTCTTCCTAAGAAAGGTGTAGGTGTGGCCGATACCCATTTTCCACGGCCGCAATAATCCCAACCACTTGTGCTGAGTTTTCTCAGGGCCGGGGCCTACACTGAGTGAGTTCCATGCATCATCTGATTTCATCCTCATCCATCCTGGGAGAGGGCACCACTATTTTCCCCATCAAACATATCAAGAAGCTAACTCCAAGGGGTCTGATGACTGCCCAACAATGGAGGAGGCAGTGGGGCTGGGACTCAGAGCCAGGGCTTTCTAAGTCCACCCCACACCTTAACAAACATTCATTACAGGAGGAAAATAAAGGACTTTGTCTCCAATCCTTGTGATATGGTTTGGCTCTGTGTTCCTACCCAAATCTCATCTTGAATTGTACTCTGATAATTCCCATGTGTTGTGGGAGGGACCTGGTGGGAGATAGTTGGACTGGTTAGGGGGTGGTTCCCCCATGCTGTTCTCATGGTAGTGAATAAGTCTCATGAGATCTGATGGTTCGATAAGGGGAAACCTGTTTCACTTGGCTCTCATTCTGTCTTGCCACCACCATGTGAGATATGCCTTTCACCTTCTGCCATGATTGTGAGGCCTCCTCAGCTATGTGAAACTGTGAGTCAAATAAACCTCTTTCTTTTGTAAACTGTGCAGTCTCAGGTATGTCTTTATCAGCAGCGTGAAAATGGACTAATACAGCACATTGGTACCAGTAGAATGGGGCACTGCTGAAAAGGTACCTGAAAACGTGGAAGTGACTTTGGAACTGGGTAACACGCAGAGGTTGGAACAGTTTGGAGGGCTCAGAAGAAGACAGGAAGATGTGGGAAAGTTTGGAACTTCCTAGAGTTGTTGAATGGCTTTAGCCAAAAGCCTGATAGTGATATGGACTAAGGTCCAGGTTGAGGTGGTCTCAGATGGAGATGAGGAACTTGTTGGGAACTAGAGCAAAAGTGACTCTGTTACGTTTTAGCAGAGAGACTGGTGGCATTTTGCCCTTGCCCTAGAGATTTGTGGAACTTTGAACTTGAGAGAGATGATTTAAGGTATCTGGTGGATGAAATTTTTTTTCTTTTTTTTTTTTTTTTTGAGATGGAGTCTTGCTCTGTCACCCAGGCTGGAGTGCAGTGGCACAATTTTGACTCACTGCAACCTCTGCCTCCTGGGTTCAAGCGATTCTCCTGCCTCAGCCTCCTGAGTAGCTGGGACCACAGGTGTGTGCCACCACACTTGGCTAATTTTTTGTATTTTTAGTAGAGAAAGGGTTTCACCATGTTAGCCAGGGTGGTCTCAATCTCCCGACCTCATGATCCACCTGTCTCAGCCTCCCAAAGTGCTGGGATTACAGGCATGAGCCACCACTCCCGGCCTCTGGCGGAAGAAATTTCTAAGCAGCAAAGCATTTGGGAGGTAACTTGGGTGCTGTTAAAGGCATTCAGTTTTATAAAGAAAGCAGAGCATAAAAATTAGGAAAATTTGCAACTTGACTGGGACAGAAAAGAAAAACCCATTTTCTGAGGAGAAATTCAAGCGGGCTGCAGAAATTTGCATATGTAACCACTAGCCAAATGTTAATACCCAAGACAATGGGGAAAATGTCTCCAGGGCATATCAGACATCTTCATGGCAGCCCCTCCCATCGCAGTCCTGGAGGCCTTTGTTTTGACCAGATTTATTGGGACAAGCCCAGGGTCCCCATGCTGTGTGCTGCTTAGGGACTTGGTGCCTTGCATCCCAGCTATTCCAGTCATGGCTGAAAGGGGCCAATGTAGAGCTTGGGCTGTGGCTTCAGAGAGTGCAAGCTCCAAGCCTTGGCAGCTTTCATGTGGTGCTGAGCCTGCAAGTCCACAGAAGTCAAGAATTGGGGTTTGGGAACCTCTGCCTAGATTTCAGAAGATGTATGGAAACACCTTGATGCCCAGGCAGAAGTTTGTTGCAGGGGTGGGGCCCTCATGGAGAACCTCTGCTAGGGCAGTGCGGAAGGGAAATGTGGGGTCAGAGGCCCCACACAGAGTCTCTACTGGGGCACTGCCTAGTGGAGCTGTGAGAACAGGGCCACCATCCTCCAGACCTCAGAATGGTAGATCCACTGAGAGCTTGCACCATTTGCCTGGAAAAGTCATAGACACCCAATGCCAGCCCATGAAAGCAGCCAGGAGGGAGGCTGTACCCTGCAAAGCCACAGGGATGGAACTGCCCAAGACCATGGGAACCCACCTCTTGCCTCAGCGTGACCTGGATATAAGACATGGAGTCAAAGGAGATCATTTTGGAGCTTTAAGATTTGACTGCCCTGCTGGATTTCGGACTTGCATGGGGCCTGTAGCCCCTTTGTTTTGGCCAATTCCTCCCATTTGGAATGGCTGTATTTACCCAATTCCTGTATCTCCATTCTGTCTAGGAAGTAATTAACTTGCTTTTGATTTTACAGGTGAAAGGGACTTGCCTGTCTCAGATGAGACTTTGGACTGTGGACTTTTAAGTGAATGTGAATTGAGTTAAGACTTGGGGGGACTGTTGGGAAGTCATGATTGGTTTTGAAATATGAGGACATGGGATTTGGGAGGGGTCGGGTGGAATGATATGGTTTGGCTGTGTCCCCACCCAAATCTCATCTTGAATTGCACTAGTATAATTCCCGCATGTTGTGGGAGGGACCTGGTGGGAGCTGGTTGGATCATGGGGGCAGTTTCCCCCATGCTGTTCTCATGGTAGTGAATAAGTCTCATGAGATCTGATGGTTTGATAAGGGGAAACCCGATTCACTTGGGCTCTCATTCTCTCTCTTGCCACCGCCATGCGAGACATGCCTTTCACCTTTTGCCATAATTGTGAGGCCTCCCCAGCCATATGAAACTGTAAGTCCAATAAACCTCTTTCTTTTGTAAATTGCCCAGTCTCAGTTATGTTTTTATTAGCAGCACGAAAACAGACTAGTATACCGGGTATGCATTTATTAATTCTTACAACAATGCTGCGAGGCAGAATCTTCTCATTTTATAATGGAGGACACTGATGCCAGGGAGGTTAAGTCACCTCCCCAGAGTCACACAGCTTGCCAGGGGCAGAGCCGGGACTTGCACACATGTCCGTGTGACTCCACACTCTGGACACTTCCCCACGTCCCCACTGTGGTCTACATGAGGTGTGTTTGATGTCACAGCAAAGAGGCTAATCGCCCGATTAGCAATAATCCAGTTAGTGGATTATTAGAATGATTTCTGATGATTAGCCTTTTGTAGGAGGCAAAGTTGGTCTCATACAAAAGTAGGTTTTCTTACCATTGAAAGGGCCTATTTTTGGAAAATCTGACCTTGTGTTAGAGAGCAGAGGGTTATTTTTATCTGACTGGCATGGGTCCCTGTGGTCTCCTGAGTTTTTATGGAAGCAATTAGTGTTGGCAGTCCACTTGTACAATATCCCATTCTTTTGACTCTGATCGTTTGTGGATCTAAAGTTGTGGGTAAGGCTCCTCTGTCTGGGAGGATTGTGGTTTCAGAACACGGATGCCTCCCCCACCCCCAGGAGACACGTCTTCCCCAAAGATTACAGACAAATTGCCAAGCAAT